ACCCCCCCCCCCCCTTCCGCCTTCCCCACCTCCAACTTGCCCTCCGCCCCCGCCCCCGCCATCGCCCTCCCCTCCCCTCCACCTTCCTCATTCCTCACGCCTGCTCCTCCCTCTTTCCCTCGATGCTCTGGCCTTGACGCTTCCGCAGACCTTTCAACGTCGACTCAATCACAAGAGCCTCACTGGGAGACTCTGCCGTGCTCGAGGTATTCTCCCTCCGATGACTGTACTTCGCTGATTGGAATCCCTCCCTCTCTCTTTTCCCTCTCTTCCCCCTCTTCTTTCTCTCCCTGCCTCCCTCCCCTCCTTTCTTCTCTGATGTCCTGCTCCCTCTTCTTCTCCTCTTTCCCTTTCCTATCCCCTCGATCTTGCACAACTCTCAGTGCTTCGAGGAGGAGGGGAACGCCAACAAGCTAAGGGTCTCGATCCTCCCCAAGAATGCCGGAGGGAGAATTTTCAATGCAGACCTGCAAGTTACTGGGCGATCACAGAGGTGAAGGAGGAGGAGGGGGAGGGGGAGGGGGAGGGGGAGGGGGAGGGGGAGGGGGAGGGGGAGGAGGAGGAGGGGAGGGGAGGGTAGGGGAGGAGGACGGAGGACGGAGTCGGGAACCGGGGGGGAAAGGGGGGCGCAGTGAGGAAGGGGAGATGGTGGACTAGACCAGGCTGGATAAGGAGGAGAGACAGGGAGCGAAGCAGCAAGAAGGGGCGATACTCTATTGAAGAGAAGAAGGGGGGGGCAGGGGGCCGGAGGAAGAGGGAAAGGAAGAGGGGGATGAAGAGGGGGGAAGAGGAAGAGGAAGAGGAAATAGGAGGAGAGAGGAAGAGAGAGAAGAGAGGAAGAGGAGAGAGGAGGAGGAGGAGAGAGGAGGAGGAGAGAGGAGGAAGAGGGAGGAGGAGGAGGGAACTTGACTCATGCGAGAAGCCCCTGGGATCACCCGACCAACTTTGCATGCTCGGAGACCTCAAGCCAGACCATCGTCGCAGAGAATGACCCGATCAGGTTCATCATGGCGTTTCCATCCCCACCCCCCTCTGACGTGCTCCCCTGACCCCCCGCTGGCATGCCTCCTCTCCCCCTCCCACCTACCTCACCCTCCCCTCTGCCCTCCCTTCCGACCTTCCCACCTTACCTCACTCTATTCTCCTCGTCCCCATCTGATATGCTCTCGTCACCTGCTCCTGTCCCCTGCTCATCTGCTAGCAGGGGAACGTTGGGAATAGCAGAGTCTCGATCCCTCGAGCGGCAAGTGAGAGTTCCAAGACGATTGAAGTAGTGCAGGTCTGGTGGAAGAGAGGGAGGGAGGAGGGAGGAAGTGAGGGATGGCGACAGGAAGGAGGAGAGGGAAGTACAAAGAGAGTGCTGGGAGGGAAGGAGGGGAGGGAGGGAGGGAGGGAGGGGACGTGAGAGGAGAGGGAGGGAGGGCGTTGGAGACGCGATCGAGGAGGAGGGTCCTTGAAGATGCTAACGACAAGGGTCCAGGTGTTCTTCCGGGGAGCAGGAGAGAGCAACGGCTTCTCCTCTATCCAGCGCATCAGCACGTTCCTGCCGGAGAAAGAATTCCGGGAGGACCTGCGGGCCAAGAGGATCGGGGGAGTTGGGATCAGCAAGAAGTTCGAGAGCATCCGACGGGTGCCGGTGGACGTGCGCGAGTACGAGATCCGATACTCGCTGATCCGAGGAGGCAAGGCTCCAGCGACGGGATGACGGAGAGGAGGGAGGGAGGGAGGGGAGAACGCAGGAGATGAGGGCCAGGGAAGGAAGGAGGAAGGGGAGGAGGGCGAGGGAAGGGGAAGGGGGGGAGGCAGACAATCATAATTATCTGGACTTGTTCTCTGCTTTCAAACGCGTATCATGCTACCACCACCTGCTGCTTCTGCTGCTGCTGGAGGAGGAGGATGAGGCCCGTTCGGAGCTTCTGGCTCCTCAAACCATGACGGTGCTCTCCTGTTTGTCCGGGTCTGGTGCCGGGGCGTCGACCAAGCAGCATCTGCTGCGGGAGGGGCGCGGGGGGCGCGGGGGAGGTTCGGCCCTGCCGTCTTCTGCTTCGACCATGTGAGGCTCGGGCTGTCTGCCAGCGCCTGCGGCTGAGGAGGAGGCAGGAGGGGAGAAAGCACTTGCTGCTGGCTGCTCGGTGACCAGGCGGAGGCTTGCGTCCTGGGAGATTGAGAGATCCGCCAACTGCGGGCGATGGTTTCAGCTCCCGAGGACGACGGCTCCTGCAGTTGCGAGGATGGCGCTCTGAAGAGGAAGGAGGAGGACGAGGAGGATCGATGGAGGCCAGGGGACCCGGGCAAGTGAGATGACGTAGACGGTCGCCTGCTGCTCCTTACGATCAGCCCGTCCACGTCCAGCTCCAGCTCCTCCTCCCCCTCTGATGGGAGCGATGAAGTCCCGACCACGTTGGCAGCGGGGAGAAAGCGGGGGGAGTCGTGCGAGCTGTAAAGTTGCCTTTCCTCCTGCGAGTCGCTCCTGTAGCGGTCCAGAAAACTCTTGATCTCGTCCAGGAAGGAAACTTCCGACGGCGAGGAGGAGGAGCGAGAAAATCCGTTCCCTGCCCGTTCCCTGCTGCTCCTCCCTTCCCTCCCCACCTTCATCCCCACCTCATTCGTCGGCCCCGTCCACTCCTCCTTGGGCCATGACGGAAGCGTCAGGTTGTGGTGGATGGTCTCTGCGCTCTCCTGTACGTCCATTGGGATGCTGCTCTCCCCTCGACTCTCCCTGCTCCAGCTGCCTACCGCCACATGGACGTTCCTCTCGCCCTCGATCAGGGAGGAGAAGAGCCTGCGCGCGACCCCGTCCTGCTGTCCGCCTGCCTGTCCCTTGTCCTTGGGCACTGCCGAGACCGAGACGTCAGCAGGGATGGCAAACTCCCGGTCGTTGTTGTTCACGTTCTCCTTGTTCACCCTGATCGCCTCCATCACGTGGGGCAGCCGTTCTCCCTTGCGCCAGGCTGCAGGTAGAGCTTGTCTCCTGCGCTCCCGGGCTGATCCTCCGACGGCACCCTCGGCTCGGTAAGAAGGGGTGCGGTCGGACTGGTGGACGGCAAAATCTGCAGGTATGCTCATGTCTTGCTGCCTGTCTTCCTTCGACTGAAGCTCCCTCCCACCCTCCACCACTTTCGCCCCTGTTGCTCCTCCCCACTGACCCTCCTCCCTTCCTGTCGCTTCCCCTTGGCTGACGGAGGGTGCGCCCGTCTGAAGTGAGAACGAACCTCGCTCCTCCGTCAGAAAGACGTACTCATCCGCCAGGATCTGCCGCGAGCTCGAGCTAGTGTTCGCCGCTTCATCCCTCCCTCCGGAGAGGTTCAAGCTGAAAGATTCGCTGCTTTCCTCGCTGTTGGATGAGCTGACCGAGACGTCGTCGTCCTCGCACTGGAACTCGTCGAAGAGGACGAGGTCCTTGGGAGGTTTCAACGCCGTGAACCCACGCGTGCCGTCCCCGAGGCCAAGGTTTGCTTGAACGAAGCAGGGGCGGTTTCCGCAGAGTTCCTCTACGTAGCAGGAGGAGCGGGAGACCTTGTCTGCAAACTGCTCTTTCCAGTTCCTCATCAACTTCCTGCACGACCTCGACCTCCAGTCCTCGTAATCAATCCCCCACCATAGCTTTCTTCTCGCTTGCTCAGCTTCTAACATATTCGTGAGGGCCCGTGGAAGAAGTGCTGGTGCAGGCGGTGCAAAAGCACTCTCCCCTCTCCCCTTCATTCCAGGCCCTGTCGACCCTCCTCGCATTGATATCCCTCCACCCTGACTGTCTCCTCTCAAGTTTCTCTCCCCCAAGGCTGTACAGATCAACAGCTCAGGGCGAGTCAGGAGCAGGTCATTTTGAGCGGCACTCTTCCCTGTAGCTCGTCGGAGTGAGTGCTGCTGCTCCTGCCGCCTCTGCACCGCCGGCTCAACGTCACACGTGTAGTCTGGGTATGCACTGAACAGTCCCGTCGGCGGCTCTCGTACCAACTCCGCCCCCTCCGCCAACCCGGCACAAGGGCGATCCAAGTTCACACACACGGCAAAGTCAACTCAGTCGCCCCCAACTGACAGTCTGTCAACTGCCCGCACTCAAGTTGTCCGTCCTGTTGCCGAAGCTCCCAGACTGCCAATCAAACTACTAGGCTATCATAGCCATGTTTGTTCTCAAACACTCTGACGGTGGCCTCAAATGCCTCCCTGCGCAAACTGTAGCGCACCACACGGACGGTCCTCTGACTCGGCTGTTAGCCTGATACTCATCCTGACATCCGGCTGGCTCTTCTCGCCCCCATGGACTCAGTCAAGGGCCGTGAGCGGCTTCCTGCGAGCGGCAGCGCCGCTCAGTTGGACTCGCGGCTACCGCAACGGCCATAGTGATTTGACTGAGCGAGTATAAGTAAAACTTTAGCTTAATTTTATACTCAGTGACAAGCCGCTAGCCCCGGGCCCGGGGCCGCCGCCCGCGGTGCCGCGTGCAGCCCGGCCCGCTCGGACCGTACCCCACCGCGGCACTCCGACCGGCCCGTGACTCCGGCGCCGGTGGGCCGCCCCGGCGGCGGCGGCGGCGGCGCGCCGCGCGGCCGGGCCCGCGGCCCGGCCACTAGGCTCCGGAGTGTCGGCGCGGCGGCGCTGAACGGTCGCCGATGATCAGTCATCACTGAGTCATAGTACTGATGCCTCACTGCCGGTCACCGTCCGATAACTCAGTCGGGCGGCCGTCAGTGGGTCGCAGCCGCGGGCCGCCGCGGCGGCGGGCCTCGCCCGGTCCCGGGACTCCGGGCCCCCCGGGGATCCCGGGCCGGCGCGGCCGGGCGCGGCACTCAAAGTTACGCCTAAGTTAAGTGAAACGCCTTGAACACTGGCCGCTGAGTGTTCAACGGTTTCAAAGTTTCAATGCGGTGCGTTGCAAGTTGTTACGTCGGCACATTTCCGAAGCCTACCGGCTAGTACCGTATGTTGTACTGAACTTTAACTTAACTTTGAGTAAAGGCTGGTACGTACAGGAAAAGTTTAGGACTCGCAAAGTACTTCAGTACTACTGAGTGAAAAGAGTGAACTTGGAAAAGGCCGGCGGCACCCGGGCCTTTTGCACTTCCGGGCAACACCGAGACTTTGTGCTACCATTCTACGTACCAGCTATACACCCCTGTACCACCCCTGTACCTGGAAGGGTCCACGTACCCTCTCGCTGAATCTAGTCTTGGCTAGTTGGCTATACGGGGGGTGGGTAGCAAGAGGAGATAGTTGCAGTCCAGGGACGTCTGGATGGGTCGGGGTGATTCCGATGATAATTGAATCGGTCGCTTTGGTGGGTACCTGAATAGTGTCTTTGATGGTGGGGCAAAATATGTAGGGGTTCTATCTCGCAAGGGGTCCTATCGTCGAGTACGTACCAGTGCGACCGGTTCTATTTGGGCCACCCCTTGGTCACTACCCCCAACGTTAACTATTCGTGTCACCCAACCTACCTACCCCATCCCTTTCAAGCACGTGCTGCATCCCCTTCATATTGGGATAGAGTGGTGGCCAGTGATGGCCCTTGACTTGAGGTCCCCCTCTAAAACCTCTAGGGTACCCACTTGTCGATCTTATATTATTCACAGATTAGAAATATATTGTTGGTATATAGGGTCAGCCAAACGGTGCCTTGTAGTTTGCCAACAAGGGGTAGGGTCAAAGACGGGTCGACTGGTGGGTACCTAGAATCTTGTTAACTATCCTACCTAGATCCCCATGGAAAAAGGGAGCAAATGGGGGTAGTTGAATAATGAACCCACGAGGGGTACGATTCCGTGTACCCACCCGCAGATGACTTTCAATCCAGACCACCCACCCCCGTCGTCGTGCAAGATTTTGTGATTATGACTTCAGGGTAGGTGGAGGGACCCTGGCAACTTAGAGGTTGATGAATAGCCACAAGATCGCACCTTTATGTTACAACCCCACCCATGATATGGACTCTATTGAAACCGGTGTTCAATTAATAACAAATCAGAATAGTGCTAAAATGTCAGGTAGGGTAGTGAAAAAAACCTTTACTACCCCATAAATATCCCAAATTTCCACGGGTTAAGGTAATAGTTGAGACATGAGTCAGACCATCATCAGGAAGGGTGGTTCACTTCACAAAAAAGGTTATAGGATGGCTTTACGTACTGTCCAATACAAAATAGCATGGCCTTCAGCTTTGAAGGTTTTTTTGAACTCTTCAAAGCTTTATGATAATATTTCAAAAGTAACCAAGTATAATTTTCAATTTGTGTTTGCTGACATTGAGATATTTCGATCAAGGTCGCCAACCTCGAAGGTTCTGTCCGGATCATATTTGAAAAGTTCTAATTTCAAAATATTTTTTTAACCCCGCTGCACTACCCCACCCCACTCAAATTCTTACCCCCTACCCTTGTACCTGCTACTGTGCACACCACCCTTTCTGGACCACCCCTACCACCCATCTTTAGCCCTCACACCCCCTCTCTCCCTACTCCACTCCCCATCCCACCTCCCCGCACGGGCTCGCTAAAATTCCCCATTTCCACCCCCCCTCCGCCTGCTCCTGCTCAGTCCTGCTCCTGCTCCCTCCCCTTTACTTGTTGGCTCACTGTCTGCTACTCCCCCGTCACAAGTCCCATCCCATATCGTCCACGGACTAGTCCCGCCTTCCTTCCTCTGTCCTCTTCGTCTGTTGGATTGCCTCAGCTGAAGCTCGTGTGCTCCTGCCTTGCCTAGTGCACCTTCCTTGGTTCTGTTGTTAGCGATGGCGAGTCAGTGGCCAGAATCAGATTGTTCCAAGATCAACAGTGGAGACACAGCATGGATGCTTGTTTCAACTGCTCTCGTTCTCTTCATGACGGTAAGACCCTTTGCGCACCTCCTCTCTTAGTAATGACAAACTTTTCACAGCCCGGTCTTGCTTTCTTCTACGGCGGTCTGGTGCACCGCAAGAGCGTTCTGACCATCATCATGCAATGCGTGATCTCCATGGGGACAACCTCCCTGATCTGGTTCCTCATTGGCTTCAGCTTGGCCTTCGGAGAAACTGGAGGAGGAGTGATTGGCAACCCCAAGTCCTACCCTGTCTTCGTGAACCTTGATCCCTGCACCCCCGTTGGGTACCCCATGCAGCCCAACGACGCCATGGCCTTCCCTGGACTCTTGTTCGCAGCCTATCAGATGATGTTTGCCATCATCTCCCCTGCGCTCATCACCGGCGCGTTTGCCGATCGCGTTACCTTCCCGGCATACCTGATCTTCATTTCCTTGTGGCTCGTCCTGGTGTACTGCCCCTTTGTCCACTGGATCTGGAACCCCGCGGGCTTCCTCAACAAGTGGGGAGTGAAGGACTTCGCTGGTGGCATCGTTGTGCACATCTCTGCTGGTTTCGCTGCTCTCGCGTCCGTCTTTGTGGTTGGGTCCAGAAAGTACAAGAGCGAGGAGGAGCGCCTCATCTTGCAGGTTCCTCACAACCGTACCTTCGTTGCTCTTGGAACCGGCATGCTCTGGTTCGGCTGGTTTGGGTTCAATGGAGGTTCAGCTCTTGCCTCCAACGGAGTTGCTGTCTTCGCGGTGACAAACTCTTGCATCGCGTGCTCTACTGCTATGACCCTGTGGACCATCATTGAGTGGGTTTCCACCTCGAAGCCTTCCCTGGTTGGTGCTTGTGTTGGTGCGATCGCTGGTCTCGCGACCATCACTCCCTGTGCTGGGTTTGTTCGTCCATGGGCTGCACTTGTCATCGGCGTCGTGGCTGCGCTTTTCTGCTATGGATGCGTCAAGTTCTGCCGTGATATGATGAAGTGGGACGATGCTTTGGATGTTTGGGCTGTTCATGGAATGGGGGGATTCATCGGATCCATCTTGCTGGGTATCCTGGCTGATGAGGGGGTTGGCGGCGTCCCGCGCCCGAGCCCCAGTACTCTTCACAGATCAACTACAACATTCCTCCTTCACAGCCTATTCACGAGACATTCCCTCAGGAGGGTTTTGTGGGAACTGCCTAGATTGGCAAAAGAAATTATTTATTCTATCTCTTTAGTGCTGCTAAGTTTTGTTTGATTCTATTTTTGAATATCAACATTTTGTACATCATACCAGCTTGCCCCTGCCTCCCACCTCAACGACGAGGGTGAACTTGCCGTTGTCACAGCTGTCGTCGGAGTCAAACACCTTGGGGCATCGGGGGAAACTACGCTGGCTCGCAGCGATGTGATCTGTCTTGGCCATCCCGCAGTTCTTACACCTTGGGCTACACCAGCTAGTCCTCTTGTAAAACCTCGACCTCCTTGCCTTGCAGCTATCGCATCCGAAGTGTGAGAGCCGCCCGATTCCTTTCAGATTTGCACAAAGACAACAGAAAGGAGGCTCGCCGTTCCAGTTCCATCTGCTGTTATCACACGCTGAGCCGAAAAAATCTCCTCCCTCTGAAGAATTCGTCTTGATGCCGCAGCATGGGCATTCCCGCTGTTTATTTGACCATGGCGCCTTCAGCTTAGCAAACGCGGCGACCTCCTTCTCTATTTGTAGAGGAAGAGTTGTATTGTTTAAATCAAGCATTGTCCTGGCATGTTCTGCCGATGTAGAGTTCGTCGGGCAAGGATTTCTCATGCAGATGAATTTCAATTTTAACCTGATTCACGAAATGTCAATGAATGTTGAAGGACAGAAAGAGGCAAGAAGGCAACAGATGCAAGCGCAAAACAAAATTCTTCCAACGAATTCGAAACTCTCGCTAGCAAAGACTTCCGTTCGAATAGGAGCATGACTTTGGAACAGCAACGACACAAAGTTGCTGACCATCAATTCTCGCCCTTTCTCTATCTCCTTCTCACAATCTTGAAGCAGCAGCCTCCTCAGTCCATCTCGAAGGCCCGACATTCTCTCCTCTCTCATCTACACGTTCCGCCCCCTCCTCCTCCCCCTCTCCTGCCCCCTCTCCTGCCCCCGCCTCCTGCCCCCGCCTCCGCCCCTTCCACGCGCCTCCTTCCTCTCTTTCACGCTCTGCCTCTAGTCAATTACAGCTATCACCCTACCCCTGTACCCCTACCCTACCATACTTCGACTATGAGCATTTTGTTCACCCTATCAAAGTCTTTTAGTACCCTATATTTACATTATCAATACACCCCTGCACATTGACCCCCTACCCATATTTCACCAATTGGTTAAATCTCCTACCCCTCATTTCAAAGAATGTGTCTACACCCCCCCACCCTCAATACATCACCTGGCAGGTCTATTTCTCAAGAACCAGCCTCCCACCCCTCGTATCGACAGACGTTCTCACCCCTACCCCCTATTTCGTATGCTTTGGCAGTCACAAGGACACAAAGTCCAAAGGAGCATGCCTTTACGTTTTTTTACTATATGAGTATTAGAATAAATTCATATGTTGTGTAGTGGATATTGCGATATGGAACATTCAAGTACCCCTACCCCCCAATAAGTTTCCGCCCAACCGCGTTTCCTACGCGCCTCCCCTCTCGGAAGAATCCCTAAAATTATACTAAATATTAAATAATTTTACCCTGTTTGAAAGCTACCGCAGATTTCAATAAGTGTTTTAAGAGCGTGAGCACGGGATAACCCTATATATATATTCTTCCTTATACGTTCTTGTGTACCCCCCCTTTGTAGTCTGAAATATCTAGACGATGGGGGTGGTGATAACCAAAGATCTTACGTACCGATCTTTTTGAATTTTAAAACTGCGGCCGGTCATGGGAACCAGGAAGAAAAAAAACTGTATCGGACGTTTTTTTCTTTACTGTAAAGGTAAACAAAAACTTAAAAAAAGATCACCCCAGCAGGGGGAATGCGAAGAGAGTGGAACGCGGAGGAGGGAGAGGAGGGAGGGAGAGGAGGGAGGGAGTTGTGGTGGAGACGGAGAGAGAGGAAGTTCGAGACGGTGACATCAAGATGACATGTGAGAGGCATGTAGGTGAGATGAACCTGTAGCTATGAGTTTCAAGAGGCCCGGATGACAGTGACCGAACTTCTCGAACAGTGCTGAAAGAGGAGGGTTGCCCTGATGATGAAGATATTTTCTCCCCGCAACTTTGCATGGCTGTTGATCACCCTCTCGTTCTTTTCTGGCATCCTGTCAGCTTACGTGTGGCTGTGGAAGGCAACGGAGAAGAGAATAATACGAGCTGAGGTATCAACCCCATCGACCCCGTCTCAGATCCATGTTCACCAAGTGCTGAGAAAGGATGACGAGAGTTTGGAATCAGCGAGGAGTAGCCTGATGGCACAGGTTTCAGCCAAGCCGGTCGACAGGAGAGCGTCGGCCGTGGAGGTGCTCCCCTTCAAGGCCACGATCGACCGAAGGCCAGCCCCCTTGGCAAGGCTCAAGGAGAGAACTAGGTTTGTAGGCTGCAGAGCGATCAGCTACCTCGTCGTCTCTCCTTTCGTGACTCTGAACCTAAATCACGACATGTCCCGAGGCGCCAACTGCCGCGTCTCCATCAGGTTCCCCAGCATGCGGTACCTCGCGGACTTCAAGAACAGGCTCCCCAACCACCCCTGGGCTGTCCCCTCGGTGGACCCAGGGGGGCTCGGGATCAGCTTCTCGGGTTCCCCCTCGGTCTCCCCAGTCTCCAGGGCACAGTTCCTAATCGAGAGGCATCACTCCTCTCGGCGGAACAAGTCAGGCTTCCCTATCAGGCTAGAGTGCCTTCTCCCCTCGGATGTGGAGTTGCTTACCTGCGAAAGTTTGAGCTCGCTCGACAGCGCGGCGCTGGTGTCTCAGTCCCTCGAGAGCGTCTGGCTCGAAGCTGAATTCCCCCTGAAAGCCGGCAGCGCACTCCACACCATCTCGTCTCGGTGGCCCTGGAGGGCCCTGCGAACCCACGACGACAACCTGACAAGAATCTTCCATCAAACGCGGGACAGGCCCGGGACGAGGAGGAGGACGACAACCCACGAGTCTCCCGTCGCGTTCATCCATGGGCCCGTTTGGAATGAGATCAGGTATAGAGGAGTGAGCGACCTGGACCCTTTCAAGAGGTATCCTGCGGGGGGTTACCACAATGCAGCAGCTCTCAACTTGCTACACCTGGCGAGGAGCTCGAGCGAGTTCACCATGATGGTGGCTGTCCCTGCCGGGCAATATCATCAGGCCGGTCAGTTCTGGGAGCATTTCTTGTCGTTGTCCTCCTGCGACGTAGACCGATGGGGCATGACGAGAGATTGCAAGAAGAAGGTGAAGGACTTGCTGGCAGCCCGCGCTATCGTTGTGAAGATTATCGCCATTCCTATGTCTGCCCCGGTCTTTCAGCGGACGTTTCAGGCTGGGCAGAACGCGTTCGGCCACTGGGTTGTTGAACGGTATGCGAGCGACTACGAGATCATGGTCTACCTCGACGCAGACGCTACTCTGATTTCTCCCTCCGGGAAATCGATCACGCGCACCATCAGGAATCTCTTCTCGAGCCAACGATCTTGCGCTCAGCGGCAGTTTGTGCTGGTGGAGCAACAGGCCTTCAGGGACAGGAGCACGATCTCTGGAGGGCTGACCTGTATCGACCAGCTGCAGCACAACGCGTCTCGGTGGAATGCGAGCTACCATCGCTGCGTCAGGGCTCTCGGAAATTTAGCTGCTCACACAGACTCCCTGCTGGGGTTCGAGATCCACGACGCCCTCGTCGAGACGACGCTGGGGCGGAGACGCTGTGCCTTGTGGATGGCCAACAGCCCGGGTCTCGTCGACCCCGCCAAGCTGCTGGAGATTCACCTGACGTCCAAGTCGCGCAAGTGCAAGTGCGGTTCCCCTCTGGAGGTGAGCGAGCCCCGGCTGCTGCTGCAGCGACATCTGACGAGGATTCACTCCGACCACTTCTGAGGCCACCGTCACTGCACACTCACGGTCGGCGGGCTGGAGTTCGGCGCTTGAAACTTGTCACTGCTGGGTGCGATGATCATCATATCGTTCGGCGAAGCTGGGCTGACCGTGACTCTCACTGCCGTCCGACCGCGATGTGCGCGGGCCGGCGCCGCCGGGGCCCCAGCACCGACGGTACTGTGACGGTACGGGCTCACAGTGACGGCAGTGAGTCGGCGACCCGGCGTAGTCGGCGTGCCGCTGAAGCAATTAAGTTAACTTTACCGTGAATAGATGTAAAGAGATAAAGAGATCAGTTTTTACTGAGTGGCAACGCCCGGCAGCGGCCTGAGAGTCTCAGGCGCCGCGGCAACGCCCGGCCTGTGACGCGGGGTTGCGGGGCGGTCCCGGGGAGCGCTCAGTTACTAAGTTAGCCTTGGAGCGGCCGGAAGTTCCGACCGAGCCGCGTACAGTGACGGGTGACTTTTGAAAGTTTTTTGCCTGCTGTGACCTTGGACGCGGTCCGTGACTAGCCTACCGGCCCCGCTTCAACTCCGTGGCCGCCTGCAGTGCCAGTTGATCGGCATCATGATGATGAGCGGATATTCGGTCAGCTATTGCAATTAATTTTCGTTTGGCGGGATATTCGGTCAGCTATTGCGATTCATTTTCATTGGCGGGAATTCCCAATCGTGTCCAGGAGGCTGGCAGGAAGGAGCGAGAGGAAGGGAGAGGAAGGGAGAGAAGAGAGGAGAAGAGAGTAGAGGAGAGAGGAGAGGAGAGAGTAGAGGAGGAGGTAGATGTCCTTGCAAGCAGCCTCAAGATCAGAATCATCGGCGGAGCCCATGTCGTAGGATCTTGACGGCGTCGAACATGCCAAGGAATCTTGCCACGTCGTCTTTAAGTTGTTTGCTCCTACTTTGCTGGCTGCTCCATGCACAGGCAGACGAGGGGGTGAAGGGTGCGGAAGGAGACTACGTAACGACCATCACTCTCGTTGCCACTCATGCTGGAAAGGATGGAGCCGAAGTCAAGAAGGACATCCTGATTGGGGTGCGGCGGGGCGAGGATGCTGCCGGTAAGAGAGGAGTAGGGAGTGAAGGAAAGAGAGGGAGAGTTGGGGGGACTGACGCTTGCAACAGCTGCAGCAGCGAGAGCATGCTACGAGAACGGCATCTTGCCGACAGATCAAGTCCTCAATGTCCTGTCGTACATCAAGAACGCGCTCGAGGGGAAGGAACACCAGCCGGAGGTAGAGCTCCTGCGGACTGCCGGGGCATACATGAAGCGAGCTGCGGAGCTCTCGGCAAACGACCAGTACATCGAAGCTGCAGCCGACCTTGTGCGTGCCATAGACAGGAACGGGCTGGACCCGACGGTCCGCTCCAAGATCTCTCAGCTCTTACAGGATGCCTTCAAGGATCAGAAGGCCTTCGATGAGCAGCTGGAGAAGGAGCGGAAGATCGCAGATGAGCTGGAGAAGAGGGAGAAGGCGGAGCGGGAGGCGGAGGAAGAGAGTGCGAGGAGAAAGGCGATGGATGAGACTGACTGGTCGAATTTCAAAGAGGAGCTGTTGAAGCTTCTGAACAGTAGCGGCTCACGAGGGGAGGAGGAGGAGGAGGAGGTTCTTGCTTCAGTCAGTTTCCACCTCGAGGGCAAGGGGAGCGACGGGAACAAAGTTTCAGAGGACATCGCCGTGAGTCTTCAGGCCAGCCAGGACGTTTCGGAGGTCGCGTTCCAGTTCTGCAGCTCCAAGGGGCTGCACTCGCATGCCGAGGTCCTCAAGGTGAAGAGGGAGCTGATAAGCCAGGCGTCGAAAAAGGGGTACAAGAGCAGGACTGACCTCGACGTTGAAGCCCTCAAGGATGCGGCGAAGAGGTTGGAGAAGGGGGGATCGTTCCTGCAGGCAGGCACGGCGTACTCGAAGATCGTTCATGCCATGGAGGGATCGGGTGATGAAGGTCAGGTCTACAAGACAAGCCTGGAGAGAATGCTTCAAGTCCATCAAAAGTAGAGCCGCTGTTCGTGCTAGATCTTTCGTTTTGTCTATCTCTGTCTCTATCTGTCTGTCTGTCTGTCTGTCTGTCTGTCTGTCTGTCTGTCTGTCTGTCTGTCTGTCTGTCTGTCTGTCTGTCAGTCAGTCTTAGTCTCAGTCTCAGTCTCAGTCTCAGTCTCAGTCTCAGTCTCAGTCTCAGTCTCAGTCTCAGTCTCAGTCTCAGTCTCAGTCTCAGTCTCAGTCTCAGTCTCAGTCTCGGTCTATGTCTCTGTCCGTCTCAGTTGTGCCTCTTCTGAATCGACCTCACATCTTCTCAGGGTGCATCTTGCATACTCGAGCTTCATCGACGGCAAGTACGAAGATGCTTTGAAGCTCGTCGACGAGATTCTTCCATTCGGTCAAAACTCCACGATGCTGCTGGTCAAGGCGAAAAGTCATCAGCTTCTCGGACAGGTGGTTGCACCCAGCTCGCCCTCTTTTATCTTCCTTCTCCTCCCTCCCTCCCTCCCTCCCTCTCTCCCTCCCCTTCTTCCTGTAGTTATTTATCTCCTCCCTGTCTTCCTCCTCCTCCTCCTCGTCTTCTCCTCCTTGATTTCTCCTGTTCATGCTCCTGTTCCTGCTCCTCCTTCACGACGTATACATCTTTGATTTGTTTTCATCTACCTCGTCCTCTCAACCTTCATTGTCTCATCCTCTCACATTCGCTGATTCTTCCTCGCGCCCTTTCAGTGGGCTGATGTCACCAGGACTGCTGGGCAGCTGCTGCAGGAGGCAGAGCTGAGAGGAGCATGGAAACGTGGACAGCACAGAATGATGGCTGTGACGCTTGGAAGGTGAGGAGGGGAGAGTAGCGGGAGAGCGAAAGACAAGGGGGAGGACAAGACGACAAGAGGAGAGGAGGGGATATACGGGAGAACGTTTTAGGAGGGGTTAGAGTTGTGATCAGAGAGGGCTCCGTTGTCCCTTCGAATACCTGATGTTTTTGCAGTCACGCAGCGCTCGAGCTTGGAGATGGAGAAAGAGCATTGAAGTTCTACCAGGCTGTCCTGCGGAATGATCCGGACCAGGTTTGCTCCTCCTCCCTCTCCTCGTTCTCTTCCTGCTCCTGCTCCTGCTCCTGCTCCTCCATATCTTCTCCATCTCCTCCTCCTCCTCGTCGTCGTCGTCTTCTTCTTCCCGCTCCATTTCTCCTCCTTGATCTGACAACATTCTGCCAGCAAGAGATCAGCAAGCAGTACAAGAGCTTGAAGCAACTGCTAAAGTTGCTCAAAGAATCCGATGAGAAGATTCAAAAGTCTCAGAACCACAAGGTCCTCTCCACTCCTCTACTTTCCGCCAATCTCTCCGCCCCCATATCTCTCTCCTCTCCTGTCCTCTCCTCCCCTCTCCTCCCCTCTCCTCCTCCCTCCTCCCCTCCTCCCCTCCTCCCTCCTCTTCTGCTCTCTCCGCATCTATTCTCCCCGTCCTCCTCCATTCTTCTCTTTCTATTCACACCTGGTCAGGCACTGGATGTGCTCAGCCACTCGCTGTCAGTCATGAAGGGAATGGACGCAACGTCTGGCCTCCTACGCTCGGGCATCCTTCTCAGGAAAGTGATGGACAGGGAGAGAGGGGGAGAGGGGGAGAGGGGGAGAGGGAGTGAGGGAGGGAGAGGCCGGGGAGAGGGGGGAGGAGGAGAGGGGAGGGGAGGGAGGGGGGGAGGTGGCAGATGATGCGAGGGAGAATTGGAGGAAGAAGAGGAGGAGGGGAGGATGTTTTGTTGGGGGAGGGAAAACGTACAAGGGAGAAGCGATGGTGATAATTGTCCTTTTTCAGGTTGTGCCGAGTCTATGCTGAGCTCAAGAGGTATGAAGAAGCCCTCCTTGCCTGCGATCAGTGTGTTCAGGTGATGTTGCATTGGTCCTGTTGTTTCTCCTCCGTCCTCCCCTCGTGCATTTCCCTCCCTTCCCATCTTCCATCGTCTCCAGAGTTTTCTTGCAATCGTCTCGTCGTCCTCGCCTCCTGCTTCTTTGATGGAATTGCAGAGGAGGAGCATGCCGGTCGCTGGCCTCTTCGTTGATCCCGCCAAGCTGGCAGAGGCGTTGAAGCTTCGAGCGCAGGCGCATGTTCAGGTTGTGCTCGATGATGATGGCACGTGGACCCAAAGGAGGGTCCACGTGCAATCCTGATACCAGAGAGACTCTAGCCAGATTTGAAGCCACTAGTTGCGATGATGATGATGATGATGTTGCTGCTGCTGTTGCTGTTGCTGTTGCTGTTGTTGATGATGATGATGATGATGATGTGGACGACAGCAATCATATGATAGTGATGTCCTGACGTCGAACTCGCAGGATCACAATTACGATGAGGCTGTTCGGGATTACCGGAAAGTTCAGGAGCTGACGTAAGCATATTAGCGTCTGGTGTCGACTTGACAGGCTACCAGGCCCGGAAGGGACGATGTGTCGGACAAGCTCAACGAAGCGCTGAGGATGCAGAATATGTGGAAAACAAACAGAGACCACAAGTATGGGGAGAGAAGGGAGGAGGAGGGGAGAAGAGAAGGGAGGAGAGAAGGGAGGAGAGAAGGGAGGAGGAACTGGAAGAAGGAACAGCGTCAGAAGAGTGGAGGGACACGGGAAGGGAAGGGAAGGGAAGAAAAGGGAAGGGAAGGAAAACTGGTGTAGAGGAGAGGAGGGTAGAGGAGAGAAGGGAGGAGGGTAGAGGAGAGGAGAGGAGAAAAGAGGAGAGAAGGGAGGAGAGGAGAGATGGGAGGAGAGGAAAGGAGAGGTGGGAGTGACTGGTCTGTGTCAGGCTCGTTCTTGAGCTCCCCGTCAATCTCCACATGCTCCCCGTGGAGAAACAATGCGTGTGGATCAAGAAGCAGCACAAGCTGTTGGCGAGGAAATGGCACCCGGACAAGGCAAAAGGTGAAGCGAGAGAGAAAGAGGGAGTAACGAGGATGAAGAGATGGGGATGTAGGAGACAGGATGCAAGCGGGAAGGAGAGACGAGGAGATGGAACGAGGCAGTGGGAGTGAAGGGGGGGAGAGGGAGCACAGGGCAAGGAGAGGCGGAGAGGCATCGCTGAGTTGGCATGGAAGCTTCTTTTGTAACAGTTGAGATGCAGGGGACAAGAACAGAGCTACGAGGAAGATGCACGAGGTGTCGGAAGCGAAAGAAGCTCTCTCTCAGAGCCTTGGATGCTGAAGGAGGAGGAGGAGGAGGAGGAGGAGCAGGGGGAGGAGGAGGAGGAGGAGGAGGAGGACAAGTTGGAACAAGAAGAAGAGGAGGAGACTTAGCGATTTTCACGTGAGATGATGATGCATCCTCGGCTGCTGTTGGAAACTTTTCCTGGGAGGAAGTTGAGAAGCGAGACAGGGGAAGTAGAAGCACAAAGTTGTCGTTCTGGAGGAGGACGAGGGAGGAGGAGGAGGGAGGAGGAAGAGGAGTTTGGGGTACCGTTGCCGTACTTCTCGTTCTTCCCTGTGCTCATCGATTCCCACAACTTGTCGAGCGGCACCTGCTGGCCATCAGCTGGTGAAAACTTTCGTTGCTCCTCACCCAGTAGGCGTCGGCATGGTAATGAAGAACGTCAAGCACAAGCGCCCAATCCCTCCCTCCTCCTGCTGCTTCTCCTTCTGCTGCTGCTTCTCCTTCTGCTGCTGCTGTACTGTCCTCGCTCCCGTGTGGTCCTGTCCGTCTCTCCCCTTGCCTGTACAGAGCTGCCAGCATGCAGTAGTGCCCCATGTCGACTTTTGTCCCCAACCCTCGTCGCTCCTCAGGCCCCATAAAGACGTCGACGATGATCGCGCGGGAGGCGCGAGGAGGAGCAGGAGAAGGAGGAGGAGGAGTGCTGCGAAGGAAAATTTGCTCACATGCACGTCCTGTGAATATCATGATTATCTCTGACGCAATCATGAAATCAACGTCAACGTCAACACACCTCCTCCTCCTCCCCTCCCTCCCCCTCCCCCTCCCCCTCCCCCCCCTCCTCCTCCTCATTATCATCATATCATCATCATCATTGCAGTCATACAACAACAAAATTCTTCTCACTGAAATCTTCGAGAGTTTTTCCATCATCGCACGTCAGGATCTCACACCGTCTGCCGCCCATGGCGTCGTCGCACAAGTCCTTCACCTTCAATAACGAATACGGCGATTACGAGGAGAGAAGAAGAGAGAGAGAAGGGAAGACAGGGGAGAAGAGGGGAGGGGAGAAGAGGGGAGAAGAAGAGAGAGAGAAGGGAGGGGAGGGGAGAAGAGAAGAAGTGAAGGGAGGGGAGGGGAGGGGAGGGGTCGTGATGGAAGCAATGAAGCCAGTCTAGATGAGAGGGAAGGAAGGTGGAAGAAAGAAAAGAGTCCGAGCAGGCGGAAGATGAAGGAGGAAGATGAAGGAGGAAGAGGTTGATGGAAGAGTGCAGGACTTACTTGCTGGATGGTCAGCCCATGACTGTACAAGACTTCTTCCTCCTCCTTCGTCATCTGCTCCCTCATCATCCCCTCGCTCCTCTTCCCGTCCCTCACCTTGCTCGAGATCTGCCGCAGAATCTCCCCCTCCTCCTTCTCCCTCCCTCCCTCCCTCAGGAGGTTGTAGGCGATAGTTGCACAGCACGCCCCACAGGAGGAGGCGAACTCTTGCTTGAGGAAGGAGGAGGAGAGGAGCGGAAGCTGCGAGGTCCCGCTGGTCGCCGCAGCTTCGAGCATGGCGCGTCCTCTGGAGGAGAAGAGCCAGACGGCAGAGGAAGGGAGGAGCCCGGGGCAGTGACGCCATGCACCTCCCACCAGAGCCTGGATGCACGTCAGGAGAGGAGGGGAGGAGAACAAGGAGGGAGAGGAGGGGAGGAGAAGACATGAGGGAGGGAGAGGAGGGGAGGAGATGACATGAGGGAGGGAGAGGGAGAGGAAGAGGAAGAGGGAAAAGAGCGGGGAAAACGGAGGGGGGGAAGAGGAGGAGAAAGGATGGAGAAGGGCGATGGGGGAGGAAGACAGGGAGGGAGCTGTATGGGTTACCCTCTTCACAGCATACTCCGGCAGCTCGACATCTTGCCCATCCTCCCCTCTCTTCTCCTCCTCTATCCCTCCTCCCTCCTCTCCCTCCTCCTGATCCAGTCGACGTGGCCCCGTAACCCTCACCCGCACCTTTTCCTCCAGTTTCCGATACTCCACGACCCTCCCCCTCCTTAGTTTGAACCTCCCCCTGTCTTTTCCATCCAACACAACAAACTCCACTGGAGTTCCCGCGGCAAGAGGCTGCTGCTGCTCTTCCTCCTCCTGCTCCTCCTCTCCTTGAAACGAGGACAGACTGTGCAGGCGAGACAGGAGGCTTGCTTGCTTCTTCTCCTCCTCCTCCAGGCCCCTATCAACGAACTTTGACAGCTGCTGCTGCAGGTGAAGCAGGGTACACCTCCTGACTCCTCGTCTTCCCTCCCCTGCCTCCATCTCGATTGCTACCCGAACAAACAAACTTCCTTCCACCTCTCTCCGTAACCTTTCCTCCTCCTCCTCCTCCTCCTCCTCCTCCTCCTCCTCCCCCGCCTCCCCCTCTTCCTTGCCATCATACGGTTTGACATCCTGAGGACGCAGCGGGAATATCGAGTCATGCTCTCCTCCTCCCTCCTCCCTCCTCTCCTTCCGCCTTCTCTCCATCATCTCCACGCACTCTCCCAGCCCCCACAGTCCCGCCAGCCTGCACAACGTCAGGAGCAGCAGCAGGAAGACAGGGAGGATGTGACCGCTTGGGGCTCACGCCGACTGCATCCGTCCCCTCGGCGTCTCCTCCAAACTCGAGCAGCAGCTCGATGACTTCCATGTGTCTCCCTCCTCCTCCTCCTCCTCCTCCTCCTCCTCCTCCTTCGCTCTCCTTCAGCCGGCCCATCCCAACCACAGCAAAAAATATCGCATTCCTCCAGCTCGGGTCCACCTCCTCTACCTGCCAACCACCCTCAGTCCCTCCACCTGCCGCCCAGCTGCACTTTCCTTAGCCCCCAGGCCCAGCAGCAGCTCCACCATCTCTAGGTTCCCGCGCAAGCTCGCGAGCATCAGCGGCGACCTGCCGCTCCTGTCCCGGCAGTTGAAGTCGATCCTCCTCTCGTTGCACCTCCACCTCCACCGCGTCTGGGAGACGACAGCTCTCCTCCCCTCCTCCTCTTCCCCTCCTCCCTCCCTCCTGACTTGGTTCCCCTTTCTCCCTCCCCTCCTCCTCCTTCCTCCTCCTTCCTCCTCCCCTCCCTCCCCTTCTCCTCCCTCCTCCTCCCTCCTGCTCCCGCACTCCTTCATTCCTTCATTCTCACCTTCCCCCTCTCCTGAACGAAGAGATCGCTCCATCCTTGTTCCGCAGCCGTGAGCAAAACGCTGCTTACCGTCAGAACGGCAAGCTAGGAGCAGAAACGAGAGGAGAGGAGAAGAGAGGAGAGGAGGAGAGAGGAGGAGAGAGGAGGAGAGGAGAGGAGAGGAGAGGAGAGGAGAGACAGGAGGAGCAGGAGGAGGCAAGAGAGTAGAAGCAGGAGGACGAAAGGCAGAGGAGCCCGAGGAGGAGCAGGAAGAGGGAGAGGAGCAGCAGCAGGTCGCCACCTATTGAGATCCTCCGATGTCGCTGCAGCATCCGATGCTAAACGCATCGCCCACTGCTTGAGGCAAGTCACCTGCTGCTGGCTTCTTGTCAGTCTCTGACCCGTTCCTCCTCCCTTCCCCCATCCTCTGCTTTCCTGCTGCTCCACCACCTCCCTCCTCCCTCCTCCCGCCGATCTCCTCCCTCCCTCCTCCCTCCTCCCTCCTCCCGCCGATCTCTTGCTCTGCTGCAGATCCCCCCCCCCCTCCTCCTCCTCCTCCTTGTTTCTCATGTCCCACCTTCCTCCCCCGCTGTATGGCTACTGCAAGAGCAGAAGTAGCGAGCTCGGTTTCCCCGTAGAGCTCGCCATGGAGGAGGCGAGAGAGGGGGCGAGGGTGGAGGGCGATGTGAGGAGAAGACAAAACTTCCCCGTACCCCTCCTTCTCTCCCGACCTGCAGGAGGCAAGATCAACATCCCGAGGGGGAGAGGGAAGGAACAGAAGGAGGCGGGAATAGCAGGAGCACAGCCACAGCAGGCAGGCACAGGAACGGAAGGAAAGGATGAAGAAAAATGGAGAGAAGGAGGAGGAAAGCACATAAAACATTCCCCTCCCTCCTCCGCGCTTCCCTCCCTCTCCCCCCTTCCCATCCCTTGCCGCCCTCCAGCCCGCCTCCTCCCTCCTCCCCTCCTGTGCTCACTTGGAGAACCATCCTGTCCATCGTCCATGAGCCCCTCGCGCCCTCTCCTTCCCCCTCCCCCTCCTGCTCCCCCCCGAGCTCGTCCAGCTCGATCGCCAGAACTCCTCAGAGCAGTCGTAACGGGGCAGGGAGGCTTCAGCGAGCTCTGGTAAGATCCTGCGGGGGGTTCGATCAAGTTCAGCACTGCCGCATGCCACTGCTACTCTGACCTCCAGCTCGGTGCAGGTGGGCTGCCGTCCTGAGGTGCAGAACCTTTCAACTCCCTTCCCTCACCTTCCACTTTCCCTTCCTTCCTTTCCTCTTCTCCTTCCCCTTCTCCTGCTCCACCCCTTCCTCTTCCTCTCCTTCCTCTTCCTCCACCCCTTCCTCCTCCTCTCCTTCCTCTTCCTCCACCCCTTCATCATCCTCCCTTCCTCTTCCTCCTCCTCCTCCCCTTTCCTCTTCCTCACTTCTCTTCCCTCTTCACGTCTAACGCAACCACTTACCTCGAGCTGCGCGATCTCGTTCTCTTGGCTCAGAGCAAACAGCTTCCCTCCGCACAGCAGTACCTCCGCATTGGTCTGCGCATGCCTGATCATGATCACTGCCCGGGAGCATGTCCTCCCCATCGCCATGCTGTGTCCTCCCACCCGCACCATCCACGTTACATCCCCGCTGCTGTTCGTCACGTCAAGGTCTCGCACAAGCTCACAATTCTCCTGCTCCTCTCCCTCATCTGCTACCCGCTAGTCAGTTGAGGAAGATATAAATTCCCTTCTCCCCTCCTCCCCTCCCCTCCCTCCCTCTCCCTTCCCTTCCTCCCTCTCCCTCCCTCTCCCTCCCTTTCATCTCATCCTCCTCGCCCCCCCCCCGCCCCCCCTCCAAAAATCTTCTCTCCTCCGTTCCTCCCATCGCATCTTCTACCCGCCTCCTCCTACCCCCCTTTGCTCCCCCAAATGGCGCACCCGCTTCCCCAAGGAAGTGATAGAGCAGCTCCGGGGCTCGCAGGCAGGTGACAGGTGCAAGGATTCCTGTTGAGAAGCAGCAGAATACCGCTGGGGGGAGAAAGAGAAGATCAGCTAGAGGATCCTCCTCTCCGACAGCTCACCGGGCTCATGGACGTCCTTGCTCTCATTGGGCAGGTATACGTGGTACGAGCCGTAGCTACGAGCTCATTCTCACACAAGGGGGCAAGGCAGCATGCAGAACTTACCTCTCATGCCACAGCTCGACGCACAGCCCTGAATCAAAGTGCCTGATGCTCAAGTCAACGCTCTCCTCCTCGTCCTCGTCTTCTCCTCCTCTCCTCCTCGAACGTACCTGATAGTAGTGTACGCCTCACCATCCAGCCCCTCTTTCTGAATCAGCCCCCACCCTTCTGCTCCTTCTCCTTCCCCTGGCTCTGAAACTAATGCACCCGTCCTTGGATCTTGTAATCCTCCTCCTCGTCCTCCTCGTCCTCCTCGTCCTCCTCGTCCTCGTCCTCGTCCTCGTCCTCCTCTCCGTCTCATCTCCCTGCTTGCTTCCTCCATCTTTCGCCTTCTCTAACGGCCATGGTAGGTTTCAGGAACTTTATTTTTATATTCGGGGCCTCAAAAACTGTTTCTTCAGAAAACTTCTCAAGACAACCAATTGACTAGAATTTTTAACTTAACTTTGAGTAAACTTGAAACACGGCCCGTCCGACCCGGCAGAGACCTCGAGATCAGTGTGGGGATGAGGGTACCTGTATCTATGGGGGTTATTTGAAGGGGAAATAGTGGGGTGATCTGAGACAGGGTAGGGTGAACAGTCGAGGATAGGGGGGTAGGGATCAGGTAGATCTGGGAGGGGTGGGTGAGGCTGAAGAAACAAGGAGGAAAGGTGGGTGGGGTATTTTGATGCTTGCCGCATTCCATAGAAAGTAGGGGGTATTCAGAGTAGGAAATAGGGGTGGGGGTTATCAGGAATCGGGGTGGTGCAGGCAATACAAACCAGTTCCGAGATGAGTAAAAGTTGAATAGGAGGTGAGGCCAAACAAGGGGTAGGGGGTGGTTTATCCCTGCTACAGGTAGGGGGTAGTCAAAGTAAGATGTACGGGTGTACAAATGCGGATCAAAGATGTTAACCTGGGGTGGGGTTTGAGTAAAAATGTTTTTTTTTTTAGGTCGCGAAGAGACATCCAGCCCCAAGCGCCGCAGCCATGGCAGCCGAGGAGCAGAAGGACGACTTCAAGGTAAGGACATGCCGGCTGATACCGTGATGCACCTCTGCTCGCCTAGCTTCGTTCTTCTCCCTCGCTTGACTCTCCGATACCTTGGTCTTGTCTTTGCTGTCATGCGAGACAGTGTTGCCCTGGAAATAGATGGCTCCATGTACATGGCCTTTGATCAATTCGGACTGATCGTGTGAATACTGTGGAGCTTCATACACCAAGAATGTCATAATGGTGTCTTCAAATGAACCAATGTTGTGGGTTGTCATTTGGAACGAAACTCGAATGTTGATGTTCGGCCACACAAGCATTTTGCACGGTTCGTAACGCTGTTCCCCCAGATGGAAGATTTGACTGACGTCAACAAGACCATGAGCTTGGTCGTGAAGTACCTCTCATTTGTGGAGAACATGTCTCCATTCAAGCTTGGACAGATCGCTGAGATGATCACCAAGATGTGAGGAGCTGATGGGTCAACTATTGTAATTGCTGACACTTGCGCAGCAACAAGGATGCTGGAGAGGCTGTTGCTCCCTACTTTGCTGGTGGACAGGTAAAACTGATGCAGCCCTGAGGTTCGGTAACCCTTCCGTAGGTTGTCTTCCTCCTCCTCTTCGTTGCCTACTTCGTGGTCAGCGTCGTGGCCTTGGCTGTGGATGCCGACGCCATGAGCTGCCCCTGTGCCTCGGAGTCCTGGATCTGGCTCTATGCCCTGCTCGTGATCAGCATCATCACCTTCTTGGGCTTCATCATCTTCGTCGTTCAGTGGGTCCTCAACCTCATCAACGTTCAGATTCCAGACTCCGCTCTCTCCCTCCCCAGCCCCTTGGCGATGACCACCTTCGCCGTCCTTGGTATCATTCTCTGGGCCGGAATGTCGGAGAAGTGCGACGACTTCTATGCCAGCAACCACGGAATGCTCCTGACCGTCTTCCACATCATGGTTATCGTCATGTCCATCGCCTCCGTCGTTGGTTTGTCCACCTTTGTTGGCCAGATCATCACCGACATCAGCAGCTACTGGAACCAGTTCTCCTCCCAGTACTTGCCCATCGGCGAGAAGAAGGATGAGGACAAGGCATGAATGAAGCAGTCACCTTGAAGCCCTTGACGCGGCAACGTGCTCAGTAACTTTGTTGAATCTGTTATCCTTTAGGCTTGGCAGTCCCGCTGCTTTTATAACTTATGAAATCACAGCTAGCTTGGTATGAGTTTCTCATTAAATCTCGTACCTACATATTTCCTCGGTCACTTCGATAATTCAGCGAAAATTTTATTAGAATCAATGTCCTAAGTTCTCGTTTACAGTGTCAGGGTCCACCAGAACGTCCCAGATATCCTCGCTGCTTCCCAGTATGCCTGTCAGGTCTTCGGGCTGGCTGACAGCATCGACGTCTCCGCCATCGAACTCTTTCTTGATATCGTCCACCAGCAGCGAAGAGCTCTTGCCTGGAAATCGTTTCTCGTGAGGCGCCAACGGAGCCGGCCGAGACTCACCTTGGCTGTTGTAGGGGAGCTGATTCATGCCTTCAATGAGGTCCTGGAAGGAGCGGGAGGTTTGCAGCATGTTGGGAGTAACGCTTCTCTCCCCGAAGCCTCCCGGTGACCTCGGCTCCATGGGCGACATGGGAGTCGTTGGCGTGTGCTGGAAAGTAGGTGAGGGGAAGACAGAGATGGCATACTGGCACTCACGCTTGACTTGGGCGACTGTGGCGTTGTCGGCGTGCTCTCCCCACCTCCCCTCATAACGAACGCACTCGATGGCGCTGGACCCACCAGCTCATTCCCAGCTGTAGCAGCATTCTATCAACCATCGACACGAGGACAAGGTGAATGTACATGACAATGCCGAGACAGCAGAGATAAGCTCATCTTGGTAATCCTGAGGAGAGAGCGGAGCCTAGTGAAGCATCAGTTCGTGTACACGTGCTAGAGCACGAACACTCACCGGCCATTCATTCTGGTGCATCACTTCTATCAAGAGCAACAGCGGAAGCCTGCATGCTGCTATCAGATACAGTAGAGGCTACAAGGGTGAGGAGGGGCTTGTCGACTCACAAGATGGGCGGAAGGACAAGGGCCTCGGGCGCCACCTCGATATTGCTCTCCAGTGATCCCTAGCGCCAAGTAAGCAAGAAGAGCAGAACAGGCGCGTCGGCTCACAACGATGAGGTGGGTAAGGTGCTGGCTGAACTTGTGAAACTCGACAGACTCCGTGTTCACGTGCACCTCTGCAGGCTCAAAGGTCATCCAACATCAACAAGAACGATCCCAGGCAGACCTGGCCACTGAGTGCCGTCCGGACCCATCTGCTGCTTCACCAGGAGCCCACGCAGGACAACTGACGTCAGGAACTGACTCGTGAGCTGAGGCATCGTCGCGTTCCTGTCCAGCAGGCCCTTGCACGCCTTGTGGATCACCCAGACCACCTCGTGGACTTGGAACGGCCCTCGTCCTCGCAGCAGCATATGTGCCAAATATCGCATTGTCAACTCCACCGCCTGCTGCCCAGCCACACTCAAGGTCTTGGTCAGCGCGTCACTATCCTTCCTCACGCGTTTCCCCGAATCATCAGGATCCCAACTCTCCAGCCCCCCGTGCAGAGATCCGTCACGGGAGCGGGACCCATGGGATAATGCATCTTGCTTCAGAGCTCCCCCATGGTAACTGTCATCATGGTTGTGCTGCGAAACATCCAACGACCGACACTGCTGACCCCCTCGGAGCGAACCATCTCTGCTCCCATGCAACGAGTTGTCTCGCGAACCCGGATTTGATAGAGACAGCGCTGGCGTCGGCGCTCCCCTCGACGCGTCCCAAGGCAAAGCTTCCGCCAGCTTCCTTTTCAATTGAGTTGCGCTGAACATTCCCCTGGCTTGCTGATTGATCTGCTGTTGATGCTGACGGGACCCTCCTCCCATCAGATTAGCTGCGTATCCCTGAGGACCATCCTGTTCCCTTTTGCGAGCTTGCTGCCTTCTTGCAAGCTCGGAATATTTTTCGTGCGCGATCATTCCATCCTTTATCACGAGCTGCAGCGCAAAAATCCATTGAGCTCGCTCTCCATCCGACACAGCTTTGAGATGAAACGATCGCCCGTAGCTATTGATACGAAATTCAAGCTCGTTGGGTAACGCCTCTACGACCGCTTCGACCTGCATGAGGTCGATTAGATAGGTGCATATTTACCATCGACAAATGAGCAGACCCGAGGATCGTTGAGAGCAATGGTCTTGACTACTCCTCTTGCCTCTGGACTGCTGAAATATGCCAACCGTGACTTGTACAACACAAACCATCTCTTGCGCCATCCCCTGAAAGAGACATCTCAGTGTTCCATCAGAAGAATCACTGAAAGGCGACCAGCTGCTCTCAGCCTTCTTGAAAAGCCACCCAGACTTGATCTCGACCTGCATCAAGTCAGTCAACGATCTCATACATGGCCGAGCGTCTGAACCTCTTCCTGGCGCAGCGATGCGTCCGGATCAGGCTTGCTGCTATCTCTTTGCACCTATGAAGCCGTTTACCCAGAAGCTGTACTCACCTTAGAGGGATTTAACCTGAGAGCTTGGACTGGCGCTCAGCTGTTCACAACAAAAGGTCAGGGCACCATATCAGCGATTGCGATCTCGTACCTGAATGAGGCTGTTGTTGCCCATATACGAGGTTGAGTCATAGCTGTTTTGTTGTTCACGTGTCGACTCCACATGAAAGCTAGCATCTCCGGACCTGAGGGCGAGTCATTGAAACGAAAGGATTTACTCTTTTCAACCTTCGCCCTGATCCACCGTCAAGCAAGTGTTGTTGGCTGGACGGCGCACTCGAATTCTGTCATTAAAAAGATTTCACAAACGGATCATCGGGACATTCTGTGTTGCCTGTTCTTGAATCATTCCCAACACAGTTCCGCCAGACGGCGGGGCGCCATGGTTGTACTGATGCTGATTGTTTCGGGCATTCGGCACGTTGATAGGCTGCGACCTGCCACGAGGAAAGCTGCTGTAAAGTCCAATCAGACCCTAGCAAGCGCAGAGGAGATGTAGAGACACTCACCCCGACTGGCCATCGAATGGCATCCCGTGCTGAACCATCTGGGGGTTGGCTTGATAGTACGCATCCTGTTGTGCAGCCGGACCTCTCTGTTCTCCCGACCTAGAGGGAGAAATCAGTCAGTCTGCTCACTTTGAATATCTTGCTGCAAATCAAACACATCAACAGAGAAGCATTACCATCCCGGATCGTTCATGTTTTGCCCTTGTCCCATGTATGCGCTGTTGACAGGATAACGTTGACCAAGGTCGCCCATCGAGTACACATCGTTCCCCTGCCATGCTGACATTCCTGCTTCCTCGCCCCACATCAATCCCAACTCGAAATTTAAGCGCGCCCTATCCTTTCGTCCTCTAGACGGTGCTGCTCTCGCATGGCATTCAATACATCTGCCCATCACATAAGACCAGTCAGCGATCAGCTGGCAATGCAAACTCATAAAGGGACGTGGTTCGATTCGGAGCGTTTGAAAGGTAAGCAGCATCGCCCAGCATAGTAGCATGAACAAGGAGCACAGCAAGATGGAAAGCAATATCTCATCTGCATGCAGTTTTGGCTCTCCTTGTAACATTCAGGTGACAACATCTACATATCGCCCGCCATGGCTGAATTGGAGCACGCTCGCAAACCAGCATAGCAACACAAGCAGGGAAAATAGCATCGCACACACTACTGCAGCACATTCTGAAATGAAACTTCGAGCACGGGCACTTTAACTCGAAATCTCACTCATGGCTTCACTGTATATCTCGCTCATGTCGGCCGCCCTCTCTACGGCACCCATGAAACACATCGCCGCACTTCTCGTCGCTCCTCATTGTCATCATCACAAACGGCTCTTTCAACCCTCCTGCATGCTCCTCGCTGCTCCTCGCTCCCTCTCTCCACTCTGCTCAAACTACCCTCAGACCGCATTCAACATGGCCAGGAGCCTGACTGCCCACCCCACTACTACACAAGGGGGTGGGGTGATTGACCCCCATCTCCGGACCCCCATACAACTTCCGATCGACCCATCAGTGAAGTCAAGGAGTAGAGCAGCACTATCTATAATTTATATAGTGTCTTACATATGAAAGAAAGATACCTGTCAGGGTCTCGGAACATACTGGCAGTGATATGTTGGCTCCACCCCCCATGGTGCAAGCTCACCCACCTGTTCCACCCCTCCAAACATTCACGCTAACATGTTGGGGTCCCCCGCACCACCCCATTTTTTTAAGCTAATCACCCCCCTCGTGGATCATCACCCCCACCCTGACCACCCTGATAATAACAAATTAACTACCCCCCCCCTACCCACCCGTACATTGGTTGCCCTATAACGCTACCCCCTCTCTAACCAGATCTTAATAACCACCCTACCCCCACAGGGTTCCTCACCCCCTTGGAAGACTTCACCGAACGCATCTCCACCACCGTACCCCTGTCCGAATAAAATATAAGGTACCCCTGCTGATGTGTCAAACTCGTCCCGGCTCTCTTGATCTTTCGTACTTGAGCAATTTTGTATATTGACTTTCTTATAAAATCGAAGCTCCCTTATAGTACAAAATTAATCTTATTTCCGGTACCCTGTCTCCAAAGACACCCTATCCGACTCAAAGCACCCACCCATGCCGAAAGTCATCTACCAGGGTACCCCAATCAACACAGGGTGCACGCCACACCACCCCCAAAGTTCGTTACCGTCCTGGCTACCCACCCACCCACCCCTCGCTCCGACAAAAAATAAAATAAGGAAAATGGAAAAAAAGAAAATCAGAATGTACTCCTTCGGTACGGGTACCTAAGGTACCCTCTACCCTTTCTTTTCCCGTGTACCACCCCTTATCACTGCTTCCACCCCCTACTACTCCATATAACATTTGCCAGCAGTAGCAGTAGTCGCATGGTTTGAAACCGGACTCTATTATAACATTGTATAAATAAAATTGTATTTAACTCGGTGGCCTTTTAATTACTCTTTCACCCCCTCCTTCCCCTGGTAGTACCCACCCACATCACTTCATCGTACCCTCTGGTACCCCAGGCTGTTGGAGGTCCTGCTACCCTGCCCTAAGTCAGCATGCAGATCCTTGTCACCCCCTTTATCCCATCAACATGTTTACTCCATAAGGGGTACGTTCATGACCCCACCACCCATACCAACCCAAAAATGACGATACCACCCCCTTCAGAGCCAGCCAGCCCTTTCAGGGACCCCCGTCTGTGACTATCATCGACACTGCAACCCCACCTGTACTCTCCGAATTGTTTTTTAGACAAAAATTGTTGTAAACGAGCTCGTACAAATGTCTTTTACACACCCGGACCTGCTCTGGTACAATCTTGCAGGATAACGAGTCCCCAAAACAAGACTTTTCGTGTCCGGTAATCATAAAATCCAATTATTTAAACTTTGGGGTATCGATTTTGATTTTCTGTACTATATTTAAAATATTCTTTGATAATATTCAAAATAATTAGGAAGTTTTGAACTACAAGTGCACGTCGCTATTATTATTTTGGCCCGTGCAGTGATCAGTCGGGCCTCCTCCTGTTCCGTGCCACACTCGGTGCCGGCTGCCGGGCTTCAATGCCCTAGTCCCTGTACTGCGCCGTGTCGTGGAACGATGCTCGGGCGGGGCGGGGCGGGAGGGAGAGGGACGAGAGGGTAGGACAAAGAGGTTGCTTGCTGATCCCATGATCCTGCCATGCGTCTGCTCACGTTCTTGCTCAACCTGAAGAGGCGGCGGGATCGGCGCTTATGGCTAGAGGAGACGATACCATGGGCGCAGGCGGGGAAAGAGATGGTTTTCATCGATGCAGTGGAGGGGGATTCCGTAGCTGCCTGCCGTGATCAAGTTCTCCTCCATCATGGCTTCAGGTTCAGGAAGGCAGGAGGATGGCGGATGAACTCGCTGGAGCTCGAGGGGCTGCAGGAGCGATGGGTCGCACTGGGGCAAAATCCTCCTGACGTGATCGACCTCATCGACTACCATGCTCGAGAGGTCAGCGACCAGGAGCTCGCATGCTTTGCCACACACCACCTGGCATGGTGCCGAGCCGACGAGGTCCTTTGCGAGCCCGGGGGTGGGGAGAGCCTCTTCCTTATCTTGGAGGATGACGTCACCGTCTTCCCGACGTTTGTCAGGGATCGCGAGCTTCATCACCTCCGCTGGAGAGAGGTCAGCTAACCATCCAGCTCGGGTAGCGCTGAGCCTGCAGCAGGTGCTGGCTGTGGTCGGGGAGGAGGTGGAGCGGCTGAAGAGGCAGTGTGTCCAGTGGGATCTCTTGTACCTTGGCAGGAACTTGCATGGCTACGACGGGCCCTCGGTCACGGAGCGGACCTGCCATGCCGGGTTCAGCACGTGCGCTCATGCGTACCTCCTCTCTTCCACGGGGGTGAGGAGACTGCTGTCGCTGGGCATGCACGATTGTGCGATCCCGGTAGACGACCTCCTCCCTGCACTCTACTCAGGTGCCCTTGCTGTGAGCGCTGCCGTTAGAGGAGGCTGAGGTCCGAGGGCAGAGCATCCGAAAGCTCTGGTCAACCAGCTTGTGCGATCCAAGATCTCGGCAGCGAGAGGAGGCGCTCGTGCAGGGACAGCGGGGCGATTCCTCCGAGCGCTTGCGTTCAAAGAGGAAATGGTTTGGCAGGTAAAGTTTCCTCTCCCCCCTCCTCCACTCTACCCTGCTCTGCCCTACTCTCCCTCCCTCCCTCCATCCCTCCCCGCCCCTCCCTCTCCCTCCTCTCCTTTCCTCCTCTCCTTTCCTCCTCCCTACCTCTTTCCCCACCTCATCCCCCTGCCCTCTTGTCTTTATCGTTTGTGATCCCTTGCGAAGTTGGAAACCTGCGTCATCGGAAGAGATGATGAAATCCTTCAACACAACGGCCGGGACCTCACGAACCCAACGTCCCTTCTCATCCGCAGCAACATCGCACAGGTATGGACTATGGAGCCCTGTGGTCCCTTTCGCTGAGTACTGCACGCTGATGCCTGTGGTCACGCCCCTGCAACCCCTCCCGCTGCCTGCTAGTGATAGACTTGTGTTGGAGATGTTGTCGTGTCTGTATGTGATCAGCCATCGTTTGTGCCGCTATGAACCGTCCTTCTCTCCCAGACGATCGTCTCTTCTATATCCTCCCTCAGTGCAACATTGCTGGTCAAAATCTTTGCGATGGCCCTCGTGGAGTCGGATGCTCCCGCCCCTGCTTCCATGCTGGCGATGCTGGTCGAGACCTGCAGGCTGTTCCGTGACGTCATGACGAGAAAGCAACTATGGCGAAAGGCGTTGCTGCAGTCGCTGCGAAGGGAGGAGGAGGAGCCTTGTGTTGTCTTCAGATCCTCGTGGCTGGGAACGTACGTGTCAATGTTGAGCTTACGTATGAATGCGTCGAGCATCGTCTATTTTGGGGCTCTCAGATGTTGGAGGAGGAGCGGAGGGAGCGGGAGGAGCGGGGTCAACAGCATCCTGAGGCGCATGCGAAACTGCGGCGCAAGGTGGCTGCGGGAGATAGATAGCGTGAGGATGGAAGAAGTGGATGTCGGGGACTTCAAGAGGGTCTACGACAGGGGGAGGAGGCCGGCGATGCTGCGAGGGTGTCAGCGGGCAATGCTGGGAGGACGAGGAGAGTCGGAGCTCACGCTCGCTTGTCTGCTGGAGATCTACGGGAATAAGAAGTCAGGTGATGCTGTGCTGCTTCTTGTCGTTCTGTGCTTCCTCCTCCTGTTTCCCTGCTGCCTCCTTCCGCCTCCTCCCAACCCTCTTCCTCCTGCTCCTTCTTGCTCCTGCTCCTCCACCCTCCATCCATCCCTCCTTTCCTCCCTCCGCCTCGAACTCGCCCCGTTGCTTCCTCCTCGCTCCTGTCGTGCCTCCTCTCACGGACTTGCCTGCAGCTGTTCTTGTGCCCGGGGCTCGAGACCCTCCGTACACGATCAAGATGAGTCTGGGGAACTACTGCGAATACATGAGGAGCTGCCGGGGGGAGGGCGAGCTAGGGGAGGCGGACAAGGAGGACCGAGGGGGTGAGGAGGAACAGCAGGAGCAGGAGAAAGAGCAGGAGGAGCAGAAGCAGGAAGAGGGATATGAACCTCTATACTTCTTTGACGATCAAGTTCCTCGCCTTCTTCTCGATATGATTCGACCTCCTCCTACGTTTGACGACGACCTGTTAGAGCTGATCGCGCACGATCGTGAGCGAGAGAGGCGGGGGAGGGAGCGCGAGCAAGCTGGAGAGGAGGACGAGGAGGAGGAGGATGAGAGGGATCTGCTCGGGAATCCCTCCCTCCTTGACGAGAGGCGGTGGCTGGTCATCGGGCCAAGGGGATCCGGATCAAGTGCGTGCGAGTTTCAACTCCTTCAATTCTCGACTTTCCAATTCGTCTTCCTCTCCATCTCCCCCTCCTTGCCACCCTTGATCTCCGTGCCCGCTGCTGCTGCTGCTGCTGTAACTCCTCCTCCCCATCATCATCATGCTGCTGCTGCTGTAACTCCTCCTCCCCATCATCTTCATCATCTCCATCATCATAATCATAATCATATTCATCATCATTTCCATCATTACCATCGTCATCATCATCATCATCATCATCATCGTCATCGTCGTCGTTGTCATCATCATCATCATCATCATCATCATCATCATCATCATCATCGTCATCATCATCATCATCATCGCGACTTGTGACTTCGAATCTGATCTCTCTGGTATCAGGATGGCACGTGGACCCCAAGGGAACTTCTGCGTGGAATTTTCTGATCAGCGGCCGAAAGCTCTGGATTATGTGCAGAGACTGCAAGGATGAGGTGAGAGGGAAGGGGAGGAAGGAGGTGAGGGAAGGAGGAGGAGAAGCAGGAGGAGGAGGAGAGGGAGGAGAGGGAAGCGAGGAGAGGAAAGGGATGTAGAACAACGAAGAGGAAGTCAACGAGAAAGGGGAGTTGGAACAGAGGAGACGAGAGGATGAGGAACTGGCGAGCTGAAAGGAGGAGGAGGAGGGGGGAGGGAGGAGGGAGTTTCCCACGACCTGACGAGAACAGCAGGAGGGAGAAGAGCTGAATCCTCTTGGCGTCCTTTCGCTCCCTGCCCTCTCGGGGCAAGGAGGGAAAGTCGTAGAGCCTCCTCCTGTCCTCCAGTGGCTCAAGGGAACGCTGCTGCCTCTCCTGTGTGAGGAGGGAGAGGACGGGAAGGAGAAGAGTGGGAGAGGGGGAGAACATGCCGGAAGAAAGCGAGGACGAGGAGAACAAAGTTCGGAGGACGGAGAGGAGAGCGAGGAGGAGGACGTAGAGGAGAGGAGGAGGGACTTGCTCAACTCTCGACCCTTCTTGTGGGGCATCCAAGAGGCCGGAGACGTCGTCTTCATCCCTCGCGGCTACTGGCACTGCGTCCTGAATCTGGAGGTGATGCCACACCATCACCATATCCTCCTCCTTCCTCCTACCCACTTCCTTCTCCTCCTCCTCCTCCTCCTCCTCCTCCTCCTTCCTCCTTTCTCCTCCCTTCTTCCTCCCTTCTCCCCCTTCTTCCTCAACTTTTAACACTTGCTCTCCATTCCTTCTCAACCATCACCGTCTTCCCCTCTTCTCTCCTCTCCCCCTCGCCTGCTCTCCTCGTCCTCGCTGTTTCTTTCTAATCGACTCTCGCAGGACTCCGTCGCCTTCACTCAGAACTTCATCAACTCCGCAAACTTGCGATCTGCGATGAAGAAGCTGGAGGAGGAGGAGCCAGGCATGTGCAAGCTAATAGCACGAGCAGTGACAGCGACAAGGGGGTGACAAAGAAACTCGAACATCTGCTGCTGCATTTCAAATCTCCTCTTCCTGCTCCTCTCTTGGTCAATCTGTTGTCACCTTGGTCGCCGCCGTCACCACCATCACCACCACATGCACTGAGCGATCGTTCTGCCTCCTGTTCGTCCTCGTCCTCGTCCTCGTCCTCGTCCTCGTTTCGCACGCATCCTCAGTATCTTTTATTGACTTGGTCGCTTCAACGAGTTGCACGCAACAACTCAACACGTGCAGAGAGACTTCAGGGATCTCTCGTGTTGTACTTCTCATACTCCTCGTTCTCAGTCTGGCAACAACATCAACATGGGCAACATGTCAACGACGAAGCATGCTGAACAAGACACTGGCAACAATAGGAAGGGGAGGCGAGACCGGACAACACAAGACAAAATGAGATGAGACAGTAAAGACAAGGTGAGATGGGATGAGGTAGATGAGTGACGGAATTCAGAAGGAAAGGGAAGGGGGAGAGAGGGAGGGTGGAGGAAACAACGAAAACACAACAAGAGCAGAACAAACACTGGCACACAGCACAACATTCAACAAGAAATCCATCGGACCTGAAGCCGGCGGATGGTATCTTCTGACATGCGTCCCTTGTTCGCTCTGACCGAGATGTCTTTCTTGATGTCAGTCCCTTCCGCAGTCCCAGTGACTGTCAGGATTCCGTCCTGGAGGATCGACCTATCAGGCTCGCCTGCTCCTCCTTCACCTCCGCGCCCTTCACCTTGTCGACGCTCATGGTGACGTTGATCGTGATCTCTCCTCGTCCTCGTTGAGGAAGTCCGCTCAGCTCGAACTCTGCCCATGACGTCAGCACCATCGCCATCAGCCCTGCCATCCCTCGTGCAGCCGCAGCAGCACCGGCACACGCAAAACAACCCACATCATCATCACCACCATCACCACCATCGTCATCATGAGCAACAGCAGCATCACCTCCCAAGTGGGTGTTCTCGTCGAAGTATCGCTCCTCTCCTTCACAGATTTCGATGTCCGCGCCCTAAAAGTGTCGCATCAGTGGACCAGCACAGGAGGAGGAGAGGCGGGGCGGTGGCGTCAGAGGCAAGATCGAGAGGAGACATGAGGCTAAAAGAGACGAGGGGGGGAGTGGGATGGAGGGAGAGGAGGGAGACAAAGGAGAGAGGAAAAGAGAGAAGAGGAGAGGAGAGAGGGTGGTGGAAGAGAGTGGATGGAGGGAGTTAGGGTGTACGAAGGCAGGCGGAAGAGGGAACGAATCTCACGGTCTGATTGTCACGGGAGGTTCCGAAGGAGGAGGTAACGATGAGTCCTCCCTCGGGGATGGGTGAGCAAGCTGGGATGATGATGGTTGTGAACTGGAGGATACAGGTCAGTCCATCCTCCCAGTGTTCGCCCGCAGGTAGGAGTAGCTGACCAGCAAATGCTCTTCTCCTCTTCCTCCTCTCCTCTCACCTCTCCTCTCACCTACCTCTCCCCCACTCACCTCTTCCTTTTCTCACACTCTCTCGTCCCCTCTCCTCTCCTCTCTCCTCTCCTCTCCTCTCTCCTCTCCTCTCCTCTCCTCTCCTCTCCTCTACCTGGCGTGATGGATCCTCGTGATTGGCTGTAGCGACGCCGAGGGCTCGAGGAACGACATCCACCATCTTCAAGCCCGACAGTGAGTACGATGGCGTGAGCGGCAAGGAGGGCGACGCCGGAGGACGAGAACGAGAACGAGGACGACCAAGACAAAGGGCCTACCTGATACTGGTGGGAGCCATCCATGGCTGCGCCGACAGCAATGGCTTCGTCTGGGTTGATCCTGCACACGAATGAGCGCGGGGAAACGAGAAGATTGACCAGGGTGTCAACGAGCAAACGAAGGGGAAGGAAGCGGGGAAGAGAACGAGAAGGAAAAGGAGATGGAGAGGAGCAGGAGCAGCAGGGGCAGGCGGGAGAGGAGGAGAAGCAGCAGGGGCAGGCAGCAAACCTCCTGCACAGTTCCTTGTTGGGGAACATTTCCTGTTACATCAAGTCAGCGGGCGAGGAGGGTGAGATGGAGGGTGAGGTTTTTGGGGGGGTGGGGGGGGGGGGAAGGAGAACCTGAAGGATCTGCTGCACTTTGGGGATGCGACTGGAACCTCCGACGAGGAGAACCTGGGGAGGCAGCATGTCACGTCGGGCCGACGAGGGCAGACGGACAGCCCCGCACCTGGTCGATGTCCTCGGCCTGCGAGGGAAGGGCGTCAGTCAGGGGCGCCGGTCGTGACTCATCCAGCTTCCTCTCACCTTCATCCCACCATGGACTTTCTCGAGCGCCCTCATCACGGGCAGCCGGACCCTCTCGAGCAAGTCGCCGACCTGCCCACGTCTCGTCGGCCATGCGGGGGCAAGGAGGAAGGGAAGGGAGGAGGAGAACTCACCAAGGACTCGAACTCATCGCGCGTCATCTTCGCCTCCAGCGTCTCGTCCTGCCAGCCTCTCACCCTCCTCCCACCACACGGCGAGCTTGTCCTACCTGGTAGAGCTCGTCGAGGCAGATGTCGGACTCCGTCATCCTTGAGAGATCGATCTTCAGCTGTGCTGCTGCCGCTCGCAGCTTCGCGAGGGCCTGGGGGAAAGACAGTCAAGGGGCAGCCGAGCAAGGAGTCCAACCCACCTTCTTCTTCTTGTCGCTCTCCTTGGCGTTACCAAGGTCGACGCCTGTCATTCTCCGTCAGACCGCCAGGTAAGATCGACAGGGGAGGGAGGAACCAGTGTGCTTCTGGAAGACATCAAGAAAGTGGTCGACTAATCTTGCATCGATGTCCTCGCCTCCCAGCCTCGTGTCTCCGTCGGTCGCACGGACCTGGCAGGGCAGGCAATGAGCAGGAGCAGGAGATCGCGGGCGGCAAGAGACCAGGAAGTTCATCGAGTTCGCTTCGATTTGCATGATGGTGACGTCGAGAGTACCACCACCGAAGTCGAACACCTGAACATTACGTTCACCAACGACGTCAAACACTCGGCAGCAGTCCACCAGCAAGTTCTTCGTGCCCATAGAATGAGAATCCAGCACACCAAAGGCAAGAGCAGCAGCCGTCGGCTTCCGAGTGACGTCACAAAGAGAGCAGCGGTCACATGGACAAGGCAAACCTCGTTGATGATCCTCTTGACCTCAAGACCAGCGATCTGCAAACTCCATCAAGGCACGTCTCATCGCATGCTGCTCGTCCATACCCTGCCTGCATCCCTCGTAGCTTGACGCTGAGAATCGTTGAAGTATGCTGGGACGGTGATAACCGCCTGTTGGCAGCCTTGTTCATGCTCTGACCGCTCCTCCCGACTTTCTCCTCACCTTCTTGACTGGCCGCCCGATGAACTCTTCCGCAACCTGACGCACGCAGTGAGAAGAGGCACCACACTACAACAAGTCATACCTTCTTGAGGTAGGAAAGGATACCGGCTCCAACCTCTTCCGGGGTCACCTGGCACAGACCGTCACTCATGCGCTGGAACCTTCCACTGTTCTCACAATCTTCGGCTGCCCAGCAACGGTGATCTGAATGGCAGCTCCTCCGTCTCCCTGTAAGAATGTGACTACCTGCTGACCATCAACGTCACTGCAACCAACCTGGTCAACGACTCGGAAAGGCCATCGCAGGTTAGCGGCATCCTGCAGCCCAAGATGTCACGAGGAGGCAGACAGATGTCTTGGGAAGGATCAAACTCCTCGAGATGGAGAGCAACAGACCTGAATCACTTTCTCGCCATATCGACAGCCGATCAAACGCTTTGAATGGTAAATCACACTGCTCGCATACTTGGTGCCGGCGCGTTCAGCAGCCTGAAGGCTCGTTTCATGCACAAGACAAGACAAGCGGGAGGGCGTCAAACCTTTCCAACTCGTCTTTGCTTCAAGTCAGGGTAGCAAACCCAGGATGGCGTCGTGTTGTCACCGCTCTCGTTGGCGATGACGTGCACCTGCCGCAGCAATGCTCACTACAAGCCTGCAGGTCCCTGGCGATTCACCTGCGTCCCATCCCAGACAGCAACACAAGATCGTGTGGTTCCAAGATCAATCCCAACCGTATCGCAGTAGTGGGCCATTCCTCAATGCTAGTTGCTCTTGCTCGCTCAGCTGGGAATCGAATGAAACTGACTGCAAGGAATCTAGTGAGCGACAGCTCCAACAGGTTGAGCAGACTTTTGTTGCAGATATGAGCAAGGCTGTCACAGATTGCAGATTTACATCACAGGTTGCAAGATGGAGCAGACACTCAGTCGAACATCAAGACCCATTCGAATTGGGCATGACCGCCCATCGTAACAGCACGAGCCATACAAGCACAAAGTGCATCACGACAGAACTTGCAACGAACAACAGAAGGACTCGGATTGCCCTACAGCATCAGACTCTAAGGTGAGATGAAGGTGAGCTAGGGGAGAAGATGTTGATAAGTCGTACATGGTGGGGAGAAGTGCAACGCATGACGTTCGCCCGAAAGGGAATCATGAGCAAACAAAACATGCAGGGAGAAGCATCAGGACTGAGATAGAGCGACGGAAATTCTGCTCATCACAAGATGTCGCAATTCACACCAGCAAGGGAGAACAACAAGATCGAACAAGAGGAAAATTTTACAGATAAGGAAGTAGAGTAGAGAACATGCGATTGATCAAGGGATTCTCAGTTGCAATTCGCGCATGTGTCACGGGGAGGATAGGAGGCAGGCACGGAAGCATCGAGTAGGCTGATTGTGCCATGACAGTGAGCGAGGTAGAGCAGGAGCAGGCGGCACGGGCGGAGGAGGAGGCGGAGGAGGTGGAAACTGGGCTGCATTGCCTGCCGCCCTCTCCTAGGGTGCTCTAGCAAGTTGGGGGAAGGGTCGATGGTTTTCAGATTTTGACAGAACCCATATACACCCTGAAAAAATCTATATTGATAGTTTACTCATTTTGAAAGATACACATAAATTCGTACTATAATATTTAACTAATGTTTGATTATTGGATTTCTGCATGGAGATTCACCCCCTCCGAAAAAACCACATCCCCCCTCTGACGCACCCTGGTTGACTAAAACTAGGAGATTCGAAATAAAAAAGAACGGTTACAGACGTTACATAAGCCCGAACGCCCCGCCGGGCCGGGCCGCCGCGCTAAACCGTGTGAAACTTGAAACTTCGAAACGGCGCGGCGCGCCGGGCCACGCCGTGACGGGCCCCCACGGCATGGGTCCGATCGCCGACTTATCGGCCCGTGAGTCAGTCCTAGTCAAGCCTCCTCGCCTCTACTGATTGTCCTCGTACCGTACCGTACTGATCTTGAACTTAACTTTGAGTAAAAGTACAGTGATACTATGATAACACTGAGTAAGCCTGGTAACTTTCAGACCGCCGGGGGGGCCGCCCGTAGTCACGCGCATTGAGCCTGCCAGTGAGGGCCCGGGGGGGGGGAGGGGGGGGACTCGGAGGTTTCAAGTTTGTTTGACTCAGCCTCGGGCCTGGCCAACTTGAAAAACTTTCATCGCAAGATCACTGAAAGTTCATTCATTTATTTTTACATGAATGGGAAAAGCAAATATTCGACGTAGAACAGCTTCCAAATGTTTCTATAGAAGAGTTTGATGCTAGGAAGCAACAAAGTCAGCCATGGATGGATCAAGGACAACGAAGCTAGCAAAGACTTGACCTGCTAATTGATTCTGCTTGGAGTTTGGAAGAAAACCATAACAACCAAGTGGCCAACCCGCAGTGCGAGAGGATCTGGTAGAATGCAGACCACAGATCAGCATTGCTCATACAAGAACATCGCCAGATGTCTTCACCATGAGAACTTTGTTGACAGACTGTGCCCAGAATCCCACAGCAACACCCATGGCGTAGTTGCTGAGCAGAACCTGCACAGATCCAGAATCAGACAACAAGATTGTGACAAAGGAGGGAAGGAGTAGCTACCAGCACCACAAGCTTCGATGCCTTGTCCACGCCCAGACGAGAGGCGAACGTCTGCACCTGATGTGCCGAATGGTGAGAGGAGTACAGAGGATATCTCCCGCACCTGATACTTGCGATCCCCTTCCACATCGGGAAGATCTTTCGCCACAGCAATGACCAGCGCAAACACGGTCATGAATGAGGCTATGAACAACACCTGCCACATGTCAGCATGGAGACACAATATGTCTCGAGGAACCTGAGGTGGCCATGAGAGTGCTAGTCCGAGGACATCTGAAGCTGCATGATGCAGACCTACGTTAAGCAAGAGTCCTCGAACCATCGCAATGGCAAACGCTGCAAGGACAGCATTGTTCTTCCAGCGGAAGGGAGGGATGGTGTAGACGGTTCCGAGAAACATTCCAAAACAATATAGCTTGAAGATGAGCGGAGAAAAGAAGGTGTAGACTAAAGAAAGCCCCAAGACACCTGATCCCAGAACAAGAGACCAGGCCAGAGGCTTGCTGATCTCCCCTGCCGCGACTGGCAGGAACGGCTTGTTCACCTTGTCGATGTCCACGTCGTATATTTGGTTGATGCCAACGATGTATGCGTTGCCGCACAGCAGAGCAACAAGCCCGATCACGGCAGTGCGCATGAGCTTCCATTCTATGTACGCCTGATTCTCAATGCAACTCAACATGACCCTGGTGACACAGGCGCAGGAAGCGAGGATTGTGCCTCTGATCGTGTGGGGCCTCGTGAACTTGTACAGAGACTGAAGCATGTCCGTCTTGCGCGCTTCACCATCTCCCCGTTGAGCAAGGAGAGGAGCAGCAATTGGCGCCTTTTGTCTCTTCTGCGGTAAAGGATCCTTCATGAAGACAGACGTCCTGGGGGCAAGGCGCAAGCTCGGTGCTGAGAGGGCGCCCTGATGGGCAGCATGGAAGCTGAAGGCAGAGGAGACCTGGGGAGAGGCGAAGAACATGACGGAGACAAGGAGGAGAGAGCTCCCTGCTGACGCCATGCTGCTGAAACTCGCGCGGTCAGATGCCTCCTTCCATGTACAGCGGCCGCCTTGGGCCTGTTGTTCCGCAGACGGAACTTTCAGTTTTCTCAGTGCCGGTCGGGCCCGGGCCGCGGCGACTCCCGACGGTCCCGCGGCCCGCTCGGCTACACCCCTTCCTAGGACCACCCCACCACCCCAATTTTTACTCTGAAAAGGACGGGTCTATATTCAGTCCTAAGTTGTAGCCCGCTTGTTGCATCTCCATGGCAGGGTGTAGAAACGTGTTGGCGGCGGCTCTGCTGCTGACGACTGTGTCTGCCTTCCCTCGATGGCAGTACGAGGAAGCAGGTAGCGAGCTCCTTCCTCCGCCTGCTAGAGCTCAGCCTGAGAAGTTCACTGTCGCTCCCTCCATGATAGTCGGAGTCTTGAACGCCTCTCCTGCCGTCCTAGAGGAAAACGGCGAGTTTGTGAAAGTTTCATGGCACGGGGTGCCGGGGAAGAACGGAACCATGTACTGGATTGGCATGTACAACGTCGATGATGACGTCACGGTCGTTGCTCCGATCAAATATCAGTCGGTCGGCGGACGATACAAGGGCACGATCACTTTCCAGGTGAGACTTGTTGCTTCTTTTGCATGTTTGCACAGCTCTGTGACTCGATGTTGAGAGCGCAAGGGCGCTGTGTTGCTGTTGCTTGCTTGCTGTTTTGTCTCACCTGCAACCTCTTGTGATCTTTACCGCAGGTGGTGAACCCCAGGAAAGACACCATCTTCTACCTCTTTCAGAATGACATCACCTCAGCAGTGCTGGTCTCCAAGTCCAACGTCGTCAAGTTCAAGAACCCGAACATGCCGACAGGAGGGAGGCTGGCCTACACCAGCAAACAGGACGAGATGCTCGTCAGTTGGACGGCGAACTCCGTCGGAGGAGACTCCATGATGGTGCAGTGGGGGAGAACGCAGGACGTCCTCAACATGCAGGCGGCTGTTCAAGTGCGGACGACCTACACTCGCGAAGACATGTGTGGAGGAGACGCAGCGGGGAAGGGCTTCCGTGACCCAGGGATGTTCTATTCGGCACTGATGAAGGGGCTGGAGGGCGGAGAGGAAATCTTCTACCGTGTCGGGAGTGAGGCCAGTGGCTTCAGCAAGGTGCAATCGTTCAAGATGCCGGGGCCGGGAAGCTCCTCCAAGATCTCCTTTTTTGCTTTCGGGGACCTGGGGATGCATGCCCCGGACGAGAGTGTGCAGTACTCTGACTCGTTCCCGTCCTTGAACACGACGGAAGCCATGTACAGCGACATGGCAGCGGACCCATCCGTGGCGTTCGTCCTCCACATTGGCGACATCTCGTACGCTAGAGGGTTTGCATCGGTATGGGATCAGTTCCACAAGCAGATAGAGGACATCAGCTCCAGGATCCCGTGGATGGTTGGGATTGGGAACCATGAGAGGGACTGGCCCGGCACTGGATCCTACGGCCGGACCGACTCTGAAGGGGAGTGTGGGGTTCCCTTCGAACTGCGCTTTCCCATGCCGTACTTCGGGAACAGCTCAGCACCCAAGAAGGCGCTAGACAAGCCATGGTACAGCTTCGAGCGAGGGCCTGTCCACGTTGTCGTGCTCTCGTCAGAGCACGAGTACAAGATGCAGACGGCGTGGCTGCTGGCAGATCTCAAGTCCGTGGACCGGAAAGTCACTCCATGGATCGTCGTCTCTGCGCATCGCCCAATGTACATCAGCAGCACAAACTGGGACGAGCCCGACGGGGATCACGTCCTGGGAGATCGGATGATCGAGGAGTGGGAGGAGATCTTCATGGAATTCCAGGTTGAGATATCTCGCTCCCTTGCTCTCCGTGAGGCTCATTGATGTGAAGGTGAATGTCGTCCTCACCGCCCACCATCACAGCTACCAGCGTTCTTGCCCAGTCTATAAGGGTAAGTGTGTTAGGCCTGCGGGCCCCGGCGTGTACGCTGCTCCGATCTACATGATCATCGGCATGGGAGGCTTTGCGAGCTGCTACAACATCCAGGAGCCGCAGCCAGAGATCTTCGAGGTGCAGTCGTGCCATGGCTGGTGAGCTTCACGTGAGCCTGACGGCCCGTGCCCTTGCAGGTGGTGGATGCGATCAACCATGGCTACATCAAGGTCGTGGCGGACCTCGACTCCTTCAGGGTCGACTATGTGCACGGAGACGATCGGGCCGTGCACGACTCGTTCACGTTGCAGTTCCCTCGATCAATCCTGAAGGAACAGCCCGGGGAGAAGGTGATGTCTTCAAGGGTGAAGAGGGTAAGGGAGGCGATGAACAGGCGGAGGATGTACAACGATGCAAAGACGAGACTGAAGAGGAAGTTCGCGGCCGACGATCATGTCGTAGAGTGAGCACTGGAGATTTTTGGTTGACTTTTCATAGTCAGTTAAGCATTTACTTTGTTTATAATTAGTTCCGTTGCTCCAGCAGCATCGTCTACAACATGCCATTCTCGATGGAAAAATCGTATTTAAGAATGACTGACTGGATTTTTTTTCTACTTGTGTACACCAAAACTTTCAGTTTCTCGCAAGGTGAGATAGGAGCATCCTCCAATAGAAAAGAAAAAAGAGAAAAATGGGTTGCCCTTGTCTCGAGATGGTCTCGCTCTCGATCAATGTGCGCCCTAGAAACAGCAATGTCACGTCATCAGAGGCGGACAACCATTTACACAACAACAAAAACCATCCTGCAGCAGCACCAGATCAAAAAGAAGCGACAGGAGTGACCGCATGGGAGATGGAATAGAAGGCTGACAGAGACGTTCGCAAAAGAAGGACTAGCACAACAACCACAGTACTGACTGGTAGACATGCAGGAACAACCAGGGACATTCAGTGTCTTCTTTGCAAGAAATCTTTACAGACGGCGAGAGGAATTACCGGCAGGGCGAGCGGATGGCAAGGGCAAGTGTATCCATGATGATACCTGCACAAGGGTCAGGAGACATCCCATGAAGCGCGCAACTCACATTAATGCCAGCATGATCTGCGCCTCAGTGTTCCCTTCCTTGGCACCTGCTGCACGTCAGAGCCAGCAATTGCCTGCCGGGAGGAAGCACCTTTCCTCAAGATCTTCTCTGCCTGCAGCATTTCCTGGTAGAAGAGCTCTAATCAGCTTCAGACAACGAGCAAGAAGGGTCCTCACCCCGTGTCGAGATAATCTCGCGAGCCCCGGAGGAGAGAAGGTCACGTGCTTCCACAGCTTCGGGTGCTCGTCAACCAGCGTTCGCAGGGTGCGGTTGCACTTCCTCAACGACTCAACCTTGCCGCCAGTCAGCGTGCTCCGCACTCGCAAGGGAGCGGCTGTCTCACCTCAGTCACACTGTTGAACTCCATGAGCACCCGCTGCATCGCATCCTCGTTCTCCAGGAACCTTCTGCGACTCCAAGATCACTTCCAGTCGGTCGAGGCAGCAGCCATGACTCACTTCACAGTGACTTGCGACACCCCACGGAATGGAAAGTGGCGGGTTGGGCTCACACGGGGACACTAAGAAGGATACTTAGTACAAAGAATCCACCTAGGGGCGAGCAGCTACCTTGTTGTGCGGGCGGTCAGTCAGCAACAGAAGCTGTTGCTTAGCTACATTAGACTTTTTCTGCACATAATCGTGTTCCATCTCCTATCCACATCAGTCGTCAGACGACAAAATTTAAGGTCAAACGATTGAACAAGCAGAGAACAAGCAGAGGCAACATCGACGGGGGCAAAGGGGACGTAGGATGGCAAAGCAACAGTAGAGTCGGATCATGAAGTGGTTGCAGCGCAAGGATTTAAGCATGAAACCTTGACCAAGGACAAGACCAAACATAATTGTTCAATTGTTTTAAAGGAGGGAAAAGTCGCCATGGCAGAAACGCCTTCTGCAGAAACATGTGCAGGGGTATTGTGATACCCTGGGGTTCGGCGTAACAAAAATGAGGAGCGAAGATGAGCATGTCAGAGTTAGGGTACCACCAGACAAGCGAGGCAGCGAGACATGTAGAGGAGGAGCTTCTACAGAGGGCGGGGAGCAGAGGGGAGGCGGTGGAGGGAGCATGGGCGAGCCACGGCACAGAGCGCAGCAAGGAGGCCAACCATTGCCCGATCGGTTGCGCCCCGCAGGGATCCAACTGCGTACCGGAAAGGGTCTACCTATTCTACCTGATTCAAATGTATCTCTTCCAATATTAGTTAAAATTCAATACTATATTTAGTATATAAGAACATATTGTTTAAACTATTAGTCAAGTAACTAAATATTGGTGGGGTATGGATGGCGAATGTTGCATGAGGATTGTTGGTCGCCAACCAGTGATTCTTGTATGCCCTCTGTTGCAGCAAGCACCTACCCACCATGGTCGTAGTAGCCTTAATTAACTACCCACCCTATTATCAAAAATCATAACTATAAATTGGGGGTGATAATCTCTAGAGCAAGTACCCCTACCCCCAAAATAAGGAAATCCGCGGCTTTGAAAGGATGTGACATTTCATCGCCCTCACCTCAGCCATCAATTGGGAATGAGGGCGATGAGCAGATCAACTAGGAGGGTTGCTGGGGGATGAGGGCTTCCTGGAGCTGCGGAGCTCTCGACCGAAGAGGCAGAACCATGGCAGGGTGTCGACAGACCGCCAGGCTGCTGGCGGCCATGGCGGCAATCAGCTGCATGGCAGTGATGATCGGTGTCGTGACAGTCGTCATGCACCACAGGAGCATGCTGAAGCAGGCAAGAGCTGACTCGGCCGCCATGAACCTTTCCTTGGCTCACCGTCTGTACAGGTCAAACTGACAAACGCGAGGTCCGCGCTCAAGGCTGAGATCAACAGGCAGCACAAGATTGGTAGCCAGGTACCTCAGACTCTCCCCTCTCTCCTCCCCGCCATGTCACGCTGACTCGCGTCTCTGTCGCCAGATCAAGGCCTGGGTCGCTGCCTCTGCCATGAAGTCGAACGGACAGGCTTTGAAGGCTCGCTTCCAGCAGCTCATGGACGATTCCAGCGTTCCCATCCCTCTTGAACCGGAGTTTCATGCCGCTCGTCATGCGTTCCCAATGCGCCGCAGGAGCTCGTTGAAGGTCGTTCCCTCCGATGATCAGAGCAAGAACGCCAAGGGCGGGAACGCTGAGTTGGAAGCCGCCCTTGAGAAAGCTGTGAGAGATGGAGGAGCTGGGGACCAACCCGCTGACGTGCAGGTGCAGGTGCTGTCGCAGGCTCAGCGCATCAAGGAGCTGGAGGACAAGATCTACCAGGTGTGTCCCTGCTGATGCAGAGCCCATGTGTGAACGAGTCGACGCAGATGTCAGACAAGAAGGCGGCTGCTCCTGCCAAGGAGGGCAAGAAGGCGGCTGCTCCTGCCAAGGAGGGCAAGAAGGCTCATCGCCGTGTGAAGCACAAGCCTGCCCTGGGCTCTTGGGATGCTGCCATCGCTGCCAACAGCGCCGAGGCTGGTGCAGGAGCGCTCGGAACCAACGTGGCCTACCTCTACAACGAGTATGCCATCTTGCGACTGCGTCGACTGCTGGCTCACCCTGCCTTACAGCCTGCAGAAGAAGGGAAGGCACTTCGAGGTGTCGAGCAAGAGCCATGGTCCCGACCTCTCCAACGTCAGTGGCTGCTTGTCGTGGCTCTCCGGTGGCTGACGGCTGGCAGGTTGACGTTCACGGCAAGGGCGACTTTTCCCGCCCGCAGGAGGAGGACGTGGACTACTGGAACGAGGATGAGGCGCAGGAGCCCAAGAAGACTGTGCGATCAACGTCTGTGCGCAGTGCTGAGGTAGCGAGCAAGAGCGAGAATTCTGCTCCTGCAGCGGAGGAGCAGCCAGCGACCGCAGCAGACGAGGAGGAGGAGGAGAAGTACTTGGATCAGAAGCCTCCTCTAGGATCCTGGGAGATGGCGAAATTCGCCAACAACGTGGAGGCCGGCGGAGGGTCGCTGGGAACCAACGTAGCATACATGTACGACAGCCTGAGCAACAAGGGACACTACAAGGAGGTGAATCCCCCATGGAAGGAGGTGGGGATGAGAATTGCTGACGTGTAGGGTTCAGGTCGAGGACGGCTCTTCGGTCACTGAGTCCTCTAACGAGTAAGACGACGGAGGAAGGGGAGGGTGACAGTGTGTATGACTGGTTGATGGCAGCGATGAGTTCGATCCTTGGGAAGAGTACAAGGCTACCAAGCAGCAGAAGTTGGCTCAGAGGAGGGTCAAGGTACCCGTTGTGCTCCTCCGTGCCTGATGACTCTGCTGACTCGTCCTCCACAGTGATCAGGAGGGCACCCGCCCCCCGGGGGAGTAGATTGTTAACGGAACCCTTGTGTGTTAGGAGGAAAGAAGTCGTTGCGTGCTTGAGTCAGAGGTGCTGCAGTGTGTGTAGACTAGTTCACATGAAGCGACTTGATAGGTCAGCCCGGGTCCAGCACGTGAGAGGATATCACGATACTCTTCCTCTTCCTTCCCTGCATGCGGCGTCAGGACACCCTCGCTGCCTCTGCCTCCCTCTCTCATCACCTCCTCCTCCTCTCTTCCCCCCGTACGAATACCGTCCGCGATCGCTGCATCCCACATCGCCGCCAGCATCGCCTGCACCCGGTCATTCTGCTCCTCCCTCCATTCTTCACTCCTCCTCGCTCCTCAATCTCCTCTCTCTTCTCCTGTCGCTCTTTGCTCACCCCCATCCCTCCTCTGCCTCTTTCACCTCGTAAGCCACAACCCAGCGGTCGGCGTCGAACAGCAGGCCGAGTCGGGTATGGCGGTGAAGCTGCGGGGGGTAACTCAGTGCAGTATCCCAGAGAAGAGAAGGAAAGAGCGAAAGGGGGGGAGGCAGGAGGAACGAGAGGAGACGAGGAGGGTGAAGGGAAGGTGGAGCGATGAAAAGAGAGCAAGAAACGAGATGGTGATGTACGAGAGTAGGAGCAGCGGGAGGAAGCGAACGCTTGCCTTCATTTTCGTCTCCGCTAGTCTGCGCGGGTTCTGCCCAAGGCGGACGGCAAGGTCGACGTACTCGTCGAGGTCACGAACGAGAAGATCGAAGAAGTTCATCGCTGAAAGTTGGAGGGTGAGAGGAACGACACGAGCCGAGAGGAAAGGAGAGGAGGACAAGCCAGAGGGAACGGCATACAGGAAGTTGAAGGGCAGGAGGCAGAGAAATAGCAGCACCTGCAGCCAGACTTGCTCCCATCCTGCTCAGAGTTCTCCTTCCCGACAGTGAGATCACAGGAACGCCGGCATAGAGGACATCGCTTCCTGCGGCGCATGAGGCAAGATCAGCAATGTCGTGCCAGAAGAAGAATCGACATGAAGTTGGACGATGAGGAGCAGGAGCAGGAGCAGGAGATGGGGCAGGAGCAGGAGCAGGAGCAGGAGCAGGAGCAGCAGCAGGAGCAGGAGCAGGAGCAGGAGCAGGAGCAGGAGCGGGAGGGAGGCGAGGAAGAGAGCTGGCGAGAGCACGCGCTTCATGCCTGTTGTTCCCGCGTTGTAGAAAGTGTTGTCGAGAAACAGATCTGCTCCAGAACTGCCCAACTTATCACGCGATGACAAAAAGAAAACGACAAAGACGACGATGAGAAGAGAAAAGAGGAAGAGGAGCAAGAGCAAGAGCAAGAGCAAGAGCAAGAGCAAGGAGCAAGAGCGAGAGCAAGGAGGAAGGATGGAAGTAGGAGGAGGACGAAAGTGA